AGAGGCACGGACACGGGGGACTGTCTGAGAGAGCCTAGTGATAACATCCGTTGCCGATAAGCACCGTTGTCTTGGAGGGAGGTCGTAAGATTCTTTCCCGACGGTCTCCGATTTTCAATTCAATCTACTACATAACTAAATGGAATTCATGCTAAGAGGAATTCATCCACGTCTCAAGGAAAACTCTAGCAAACTCTGATGCTTTATCCGACCAGTATCAGACAAATGCTGGAGCAGTACTTTCATAAACGGGCCACAAACCTCGCGCGTTCTTTCTTCATTCTTGTCACCTCAAATTCAACTGATATCAAATTGTCGAGTTTTTCAAGTTGACACGACAATGTTACATTTATGCATCAGAAATGCAGTAATTTCCTTTAAAATGATAATTTAAGTTTCCAAAATTTCTGTTTTAGGGATGTTGAATTGAAAAATAATTCTTGAAAAATGGAAAGATCAGATGAGTTCCAATAACAAACATTTCTTTCATCCGGATGTTGATGTGCTCCAGTTTTCGTACACTAACGATTACGATTTAGATTTTTCAATTATTTCCTAATTGCAAAAGAATATTTGAGAATTTTTAGATTAGGACTGAAAAGCCACCTTAAAAATGTAAATTAATGTTGGTGTATGTAAATGTAGTGTAGAAGTTTTGGAAAGATCACGGTGTCGAATTGAATTGAGCTTAATTTGTTTTTCATTCTTCCTCCTCTTATTAACATCGTTTTATTTTTCTGTCTCAGCTGTTAAGGCAGTAGAATGACTGAAGTTGGCGCTTTTTGAACACAATTAATTAATAGTTTTACCAGTTACTTTTTACCTTTTAAAATGAGAAAATAAAATAATATTCGGAAATTCTAAAAGACGTCTCTTCCTATATCACTGTTGCAACTTCTTCAGACTGTGCTGCTTAAACAAAAATATTCTATCTTTTACTCACCAACCCGTCCTAATGTTCCCCGCCCTTTTTATCCCTTGTTTATTGCAACGTTCATTACAGCGATCTGGTTAGCCGAGACGCATAGATTGTGTACGCAATTTCAGAGGAGAGGTATCTGCATCTACGTATTCCGTTGCTTTGAGAATTGTTTCGTCGCCCTTCACGCGCGAGTGTCGCAGAAGGTTATTAACACGCCTTCAAGTAATACGAGAATAACCGGAAAGTGGTCTGCTAAAAAAAGGACTGTAATTGTGGCCTAAAAGCACGTAAATAACAGTTATTGGAAGGTAGTCCCTTTGGCCGGATACAATCGTACTTTCGGCCACTGTACTGCAGGAGTTGCATCGCCCGGCGCACGGACGCTGCCTCGCGGCAACAGGTGCAAACAGCGACCGCGCCGCGTCCTTGAAATAGGGCAAGATTCCCCGTCCCACCCCCGCAGAGCGGAGCGACAAAACAACCGCCACCAATGGAACTGCGCCGCCCTTGACTCAGCCTGGCCACGGGCCAATCAATCTTCTTATTCACGGGGAACACAAAAGTGTTCTGGACTACGCTCTTCTCTGACAAATAACCCAATTAACAAATGATGTGATCTTGAAGATGTATTCGTAGAGGGCAGAGTGTACATGAAAGGCTAAAGCATTTCTTAATAACCACTCTTCAATTTCACCTGCTTCATCCCTAATATGCCTAATAGATAAGAGTGATTTGGGACATCGAATGCATTCAGGTTGCAGGATTTTCGATACTAGCTAGATAGCTAGGTCGAATTCTGTCTGGGGGAGAATTCTAGCGGCCGGATGTTCTGATCGTTTGTTTTCCATGGTTTCTCCGATCAACACTAGGTAACTGCCGACGGATACCCTCACTACCGAGCCACGGACCGTGTGCTATCTTAACGTCTTCGTTCTCGTCCTACACTCACCCCTTACTTCCTTCACTTACATGTACTACTGTAATTACCACTCATGACGGGAGACCTGTCGGGAGTTTAGAACTTCTTCCGCCTGGGGCGGTGCCCAACGACTGGGGAATACCTAGAGGGCAATATTCCCAAAACCTGGCGTGTAGATCAGCGCTGAATCTCACCATTCAGCGCATCCAGGCAAAGAACACTATCGTCTCCCAAATGCATTACACTTACAGGACAAACGACCATACCAGTTCACGCGCCCGGAAACACGCAATAAACAAACAATTGGATGGTTTCCAAAGTTGAACGTGACCTCTGGGGGAGGGGGGCAAGGGTACCAATGAATGTCTCGGTTTTGCCATTTCACGATTCCAGTTTGTTTGAAAAAAACATCTGAAACATTCTGATGTAATACTTAGATTTCAAAGCGACAGCTGACAATTCAAGTCACGAGTTTGACAATCCGTACCTTTGGTTCTATACTGCTTGGGTTTATAAGCTGAATGTTACACGTCTTCTAGAAGTACCGACAATGACCACTTCAAGGCATCATAAGAGGCCTCATCAGTACCAAAAGAGGACACAAAAGTTGTGCTATTATAGCAACAAATTTCAAACTATGTATTAAACTACTTGTAGAGAGATGACAAAATATTGTCTATTTCAAAATATTGTATTACATTCAGTGCTAAAAATGATTCACTGTGGATTCACTACAGTCAGTGCTAAGAAAAATTCTCGCTGTTATATTTTTGCAAAGATAGTTACCCTACGACTGGGAAATAATATATTTACAGAAATTTTTTATTTCGAAAAAACTACATATTACTTTCATTATCGCAGAAACAACGAAAATCACCTTGACTTTTCCGGTATTTTCATTAGATGTACATACCCGTGTATAAAGAAAACAAAATTTATTTGATTGGGAACTCTTCAATAAAAATATTGAGCATTATAATCGCTTGCATTTTCGAATGTAATTTATATATAAACTCTTCAAAAAAATGAAGATTATAACGAATATTTATTAGTATTGAAATATTATAAGAAAATGAATTTACAGCATAAATATAAACTGTATTTCAATAATTCAATGTAGTTTAATTGAGTTAAAAAACTTAAACAATTATATTTTTACCTACATTTTTACATACATTAGTTCGTAATGGGACCGAATCAAACCGGATTCTTTTGTTTGGAATAAATTTCATTAAGTAGTAAAATTGTAACTGAAATGCCAAATTTTGTGTCAAATATGGAAAAAAATTAATTTTTCCGCTTCTTTCTGAAATCACGTATGTGAGTACGTCTCTCGACGAGAAATTTAATAAAACAAAGTAGACTTCAATCCGGCCATTAGTTTCCGAAATACGCATGAAACAAAATTGAAATTGAAATACCAAATTTTGTGCAAAATTCGGCAAAAAATTAATTTCGTCGCTTCTTTCTAAAATCACGTATGTGAGGACATTTCTCGACGAGAAACTCAATACAAGAAACCAGACTTCAATCCGACTATTAGTTTCCCAAATACGCGTGAAACCATATTGCGTACGAATTGCCATAGTTGGTGGAAAATTTATCAAAAAATTAATTCCGTCGCTTCTCTCTGAAATCACGTATGTGAGTACATCTCTCGACGAGAAATTCAATAAAACAAAGGAGACTTCAATCCGACCGTTAGTTTCCGATAAACGCGTGAAACAAAATTGTAACTGAAATGCCAAATGTGGTGGAAAATTTTGCTAAAAATTAAATTCGTCGCTTCTTTATTAAATCACGTATGTGAGGACAGCTCTCGACGAGAAATTCAATAAAACAAACCAGACGTCAATCCGACTATTAGTTTCCGAAATACGCGTGAAACAAAATTGTGATCGAATTGTCAAATTGGTGGAAAATTCGGCAAAAAATTATTTTCGTCGCTTCATTCAAAAGTCACGTATGTGAGGACATCACTCGACGAGAAACTCAATAAAAAACAGCCTTCAATCCGACTATTACTTTCCGAAATATGCATGAAATGAAATTAATACCGAATTGCCAAAGTTGGTGGAAAATTTGGAAAAAAATTAATTTCGTCGCTTCTTTCTGAAATCACGTTTGTGAGTACATCTCTCGACGAGAAATTCAATAAAACAAAGGAGACTTCAATCTGATATTCCTTAAGTTTTTATTCTTTTTTTTTTTGTAAAAAAATATCTTCCATTCTTTAATGATGTACCACATGAATAATGACATTAAATAACTTCTTATTTAGTACACCCAAGAAAGTAATCTTCGAATTTGAAATAAACCGAAAACTTATGAAACGCTTAATGTTGTTTAAATCACATATGCACGTCTGAATGCCTAGGAAATTCCCAATTAATAATGACTAATAATATAGTAATAAGTGGTACATTATTACATTTATCTTCATTATATTATTCTTCAGTGCATTTTTTATAGTTTTCTAACATTGCTGCGTTACAGGAACAATCTGACTGTTGACGTAGGGGTAAGTTGCGGAACCTAGTTTCATGACACCTCCTTGCTGGAACACGAGGCCATAAATTGACTTGAATTTTCCTTGGAAACACATCCAATGTTTAGTACGCTGTAAACAAGCAATTTTAAAAACTTATTTTAGCATTCTTTTCACATTATTACCATTTCCACTGATTCTAAAAATTGGTCAGGGAAGTTCAAAACAGAAAAGAAATAATTCCTATAAACAAATGAAATGAAGTTATCAGAGGTCATTCTATAAAAGAGGATGGCTCAATTAAAAGGGTTTTACTTTCGAACAGATCTCGAGTACAGTTTTGAGAGGCATGGCATATTTTTTGAGAGCCTTTTAATCGATGAACTGTCAGATTTCAATGAGCCTTTTCTCGTATAGTAAAACATTTAGCTTGATTCATTATTAGATTTAGTTGTTTAGTCCCCATTTTTAAATTTACTTTGTTGGGGAATTGACGATTTAAAAAAACGGATTTTTAGTCAGCCGATTTTTTTTAATTGTTGCATCTTCGTTGACGCAACAATGTGTCCGAATCCTTGTTGAGCGTTGAGCGTGGTGTGGTGTTCGTATGTTTCGATATGAAACACTGTTCCTCGCAGCCACTAGTTGGGTCGACGGGTAGCATGCTTGCCCTAGGCCGGGGGATTAATCATGGCGTTCGCTCACGGGCGGCTGTGCAGGGACACGCTTCTTCGTTTGCGTAGCGGTGCCGCGACCCCCCCCCCGCCCTCCACTGCTCCTTTACTCGCGCCAGACAATTTCACTAATGTGCAGTGTTTTAGAAATAATTCATTCAAACTTCAACCAACCCCACTGTCTATCAGCACAAAATTATCAAATTTTCCCGTCATGCTCAAATCTCTTTCTTCAGTTAGTCAAATATATTTACTTCGTGACGACCATTTTTGATACTGTTGATACATTTGATACTGTTGATTAATGTGCACAATGTTTAATCGTAAGAAACAATTGACTCAAATATCAACCAATCCCAACTGTCTATCAGTAAGAAATTGTCAAATTGTTCCGTCATGTTCACCTCTCTTTCTTTAATTTATCAAATATCACATAGTGAATTTTTCTCTGTTTACTCAGTGAATTGTTCAGTGAACACTGTAAGTATTAACAAGGAAAGTTTAAACAATTTAACGTTTCGGTGAAACTTCACTTGCAGAAATAGATGAGAAAATAAACAACTCACATCGCCTGAAACTGTGAAAAACGGGAAAATTTCCGGCAGATCAGAAATGAAAGACATTATGAACTTTCATCACAAACACCAAAAGAAATGTGAAATATTTTTCAATGATTGGGCTAGTGAAATTGCTCTTTTTAATAATTGTTAATTTCCTTTTTTATGTCTCTAATAATGTTTGTTATTTTAAAATATATTTATTGTTGATTAATGGGTATTTATGAATATAAACTAAACATTGTGAATTCATTTTTTATTATAACTTCCATCTACTAAATTGAAATCACTTGAGGAGATTATAATATTAAAATCATAAAATGGCATGTTAAAATTACGACTTACTTGTCTTTTTATATTTAGTTTATTCAAGTAAATATTCGCGAAACTGTCTTACCAAATACCCCTCGTGCGTAGGGAATTGATAATAAATCAGCTACACTGTCATATGTATCTCCAATTCCCTGTAGACAGCTTCTAAACCAGTATAGAATCCCCGAAAATCGCATTTCTTCGCTATTCTTCCGTCAGAGACATGAGCTGAAGGGCTAGGTGGTAATGTCTAAAATCGTCCGTTACGTATGTCCAATTAAAGATTAACGATATTAAATATATGACAATTAAAGATATGAGTGGATTTAGTTTTTTTGATTTTGTCATTAGAAATAAGATTTCATGCATTTATACAAATCGAGAGAATAGCAGTTGATAATCGTTTTCAAGGGCACTCTTCTTCAATTCTAGGGGAAAATAGTTTCCATGAGAACATTCTCCAAATAAAGCCAAAACAGTATTGAGTACACAGCCACAGAAAAATTTTGACAATGATTGCGAAATGAATTCGTATTATTTCCTCATGAAACACACCGAGCACGTTCCCCAATTTGCTTTGGAATATTCGAGGGACCAAATAATTGATTACATGGTAGAATGAAGTATACACCGCTCAGCAAAAAACGCTGGTCAAGATGGCCGCCGTGCTATTTATCTCGAAAAGGGCATTTGTAAACCGTAACTGTTTCGGAGAGACATTAATGGCATAGATGACATCGCCACTACGCGCTCCGCGCTGCGGTTCTGGATTAAAGTCACTACTAAGACGTGGATATTTTCACCTGATTTTGTGGTGGAGGGTGAGCGTAACGTAACCCATTAACAGAATACAGGGAAAGAGGGAGAAATTAACGGAAACCCAAGCGATCATGAATTGATGTTTGGTTGACCATGAGAGATCTTGTAGACGCCAAGATTTCGATCTATTAGAAAGATCTCTCAAAAGGAGATCGTGTCTTTAACATAACTGCGATTTAGAAATACACTTTTGATACTTTGCGATTAGATTTGAACCCCCATTGTGACTAGAAAGTAGAATATTACTCTTCAAATCGTTCATAATAGCAACATTAACACATGCATACCCAATATGGAGAGAGGCTATGCAAAGCACTATTAACAAGCTAACAATCGTCTAAATAAATATTCCAAATCAATATTAAATGTCCCAAATTCTGAACCAACAAGGGTGACACGGATTATATACATGCACACCAACACTGAAAAAAGAACGGCCTAAAAAGAAGAGTTTCTTTAGAAACTTACCCAACTGTGGTAAACCCAAAGCGGCTTATGCTCCTCGCCTGCTCGCCCTCTGCCCGTCCGCGCTGGTAGCGTTTCGAGAAGGTCAGGCCGTACACTAAGAAGGTATATACTTTCTCTGTGGCCAGGCGGCTGCGCGCCACCCCTGTGCATGCCGTTGAACTAGGGCAACGCCACCGCCGCTGTCGCAGGGACGAACTCTTTACAACCGCGTACGGACACAGAAATTGTCGCTCGTGTTCCGCACTTTGTGAGCGAGGTCCTTCACGTTGTGAGCGCCCCACTCCACGGTTGAATTATATTAATGCCTTATTTTACGTGGCGAGACTCAGGCCATGAGGCCTGCTCTTCCGTCTGACCACGCAAATTTCGCTACGCTCCCTTCACTAGCAGAGAAAGGAGGTATTTGTTGGGCGAGAAACAGGCGATTTTAATTTAGCTCAGAGGCGTCATTTAGGCTTGAGGATCTTTTACATGCAAGTAAATCTAGTAACATGGGACAGCAGGCGTTACTTCCCTTCCGAAGGTAGGCGTACGAAGGATTTTTTCGCCTTTAAAAATCCACGGCTTCGATCGGGTTTGAACTAAACCTGGGTATACCAACTTGGGTATATAGTCCGATACGCTAACTGTTACGTTATCGCTGCGCGCAGCGCGGTTGCACTCGATTTGACCAAGGCTGGAACCGCGAGCAACCCAGCGCCACCTTTCTGCCTTCGCCTCCTCCTCAAGGCGACGACCGACTGAGCGCTGGGCAGCCTGGCCGCTGTAAGGAAGTAATCGTTTCCTTACAAGGGCATGGAATAAACTACTTCGAACCCGGTGTTCATCTTTCTCTTGTTGCATACTCCCTTCCCCTTATGACATCACGACATGCCCAGCTCTACAGTGGTAAAGTTATGAAGACACAAGAAACCACGCATTAAATCGGGACTCCGAAAACAACCTATTCAAAACCCCATAACTACCAGTCATCTCCCTCACCAATCCATTGCGTCGTATCCTCCCCTCCTAGAAAAAAAAGTCGTAATTTATTAATATTCAGCGAAGAAAGCCTTGCCTTCAGGATGACCATGCCCTAAACCTGGTATATCAAACTACGCTCGGATGAGCTACGTCCCGCCCGGGAAGTCAGTTGCTCTTGTGAGCACGGCCAATTTCCCTTGACTAAGATCTCATTTCTCCTCCACATCAAGAAAGGGTTGTACATTAAATTTGGTTCGCAGCTTTTCAATGAGATGGTACTGTTTCAGCCAATCTGAATGTTTGAATTCTCGGCTATCCGGGAGACGCCGCGTCGTTGGCTGGGGTGCCGACGTTTCGCCTGACATGTCGCAGGCGTCCTAAGGGCAGTGACACTACGACGCTACGCGCCCGGTGATTTAAACTGTCCTATATCCGAGAATTCAGGGATTCGAGCCGCGGAAGCTTACGTATAAATCTGAATGTTTCTTAAGCATTGAACTAAATTTTGTATTGTAAGTTCCTATTTAAATTAGGGATTCTCAACACTTTTTTCAGTATCAACCTCTAAATGATAACTTGTTTCTTAGATTCCTTTCAAATTTTTCTGTAACATACGGAATACAACATAATAAATTTTATTTGACTTACAGAAAACAATTGCACAAAGAAAGCGAACAAAATTGTGTAAAAGGGTTTACTAGATTAAGGTTTTATTTATTATTTTCAATTTTTACAATACATACGTTTCAGAAATAAAATTACACATTTTAATTACACAAATGTTTGATTTTTATTCACTTTCAGGAATTAAGTTAAATTCGAAAAGAGGAAATAGCTTGTATTTTGTATTTAAAGGTTTTATAGAAGAAAACAATTAATTTCATTAATACTTTTTGTAATCAATAAGATCTTGATACTAATTAGACAAATCCCTACATCAACTGTCAACATGTTCACGTTGAGATATCAATAATATTATCATACATAATATCCGCAATCCCATGCAGGTTCTGACTTAAAATTTATAATGATCTCATTACCATAATATTGTAGCATACCAACCTCGTCACGGCTTAAAATGTATTATGATCTCGATACAAGAACAATTACGTTAATTAGAAAGTTGGCCGAAGTGGAGAATCAAATTAAATCCAACGCTGAACCACACTAACAGCACAGATTTGCATGTTACCATCCAACATATAATGATCATTTCAAACCAACCCGAAATAACTCCCAAATCCTTTGGCTCCATTACCATGTTTCAGCTAAACGCTTAGAACATCTTGATTTTATTAAAATGGGAATATCACATCACCAGGCCAAGGGAGAGCGGCCTTGAAAGATTAAACCCACTCAATCGAATTTTTGTGCCCCAGTTCCTTAGCAAGTTGTAAATCTACTACCTATAAAATAAAATTGTGATTGTTCTTTATACTATTCATATTGTTGCTAATATAATTACCACTTTCCATGACTTCAAGCAAACAGTTATCTCGCACATCGATAAGACATAAACTGAGATTCTCACACACATAGCGTACCGTATCTTTCATTTCTCCCTGTCAAAATTACGTTGTCGGCGACGTGATGTGTTGCGTATGTGTGCTCTGATGAGGGCGTTGACGTTCCATTCGTGGCTGTGTGACTTTTGCCATTTGCGACGGCTGAAGCGTTGGCAACTACGCATAGGTCTCGGCGTCTACCGGACAGCCAAGCAACTACTGACTCCAGCTGCAGAAGCCTGCGACACAGTATACGTATGCTGATATGTGCAGTACACATATCCTTATCAGTACCGAATCCTTATACGTATACTGTGTCTACGCTATCATTAAAACTGGAGTGTCTGTCTGCAGTTTCAAAATGACTACTCTATACGAGGTTTGGGACAGAAGTCATGGCAACTATTTTTTTGTAAAAGAAATGTAATCAGATCACAATTTAATTTGAGTGTCAGTGTGCAGTTTCAAAATGACTTCCCTATACGCGGTTTGGGGGAGAAATAATGGCAACTATTTTTTTGTAAAAGAAATATAATCAGATCACATAATTGTATTTGAGTGTCTGTCTGCATTTTTAAAATGACTACTTTATACGAGGTTTGGGACAAAAGTCATGGAAACTATTGTTTTTGTAAAAGAAGTATTGACGGATCTCATAATTTTATTTGTAGCACAAAAGAAAGTGTACTAGTGTGTGTTAGCAACGACGAATGGTTCCTTGAGTGTCTCTATTAGCATAGGGAGCAACGTGAAATCAGTACACTGCCACCGCGCGAGATGCATGCATACTTTTCGAGTAAAGTTCCTACATCAAGACAGCAGTTCTCCGTAGAAGAAATGCCCTACAATATCACAAGAAATGGGTGGACGTTGTTGGGAAGAATGCCTTTCCAAACCGGACAGTCGCGAGCGAGAGTTTTTATGAGAACGCGCAGCAACCTGCGATCAGCAACGCACGAGACGACCTGTGTGTGTGTGCGTTTCTCGATACCACTTTCGCACTTCTGTCTCCAGTAGTGACATCCTTCCAGCAGGAACTCGAGTACCGCACGAGCCGCTTCGGTCCACAAACTCGAAGGTCGTCCCGGGCATTGCCACGCGACCGCTCAAAAGCTCTTCTGCCCGTCTCGCGACTGCCTGCTATGGAAGGGTTCTATTCAAAAGAGCTCCCGCCAATTCCCAGCGACATTCTCGGGCATTTTTTCCACGCTCAACGGCTGCCTTCACGTAAGGGCGTTGTTCACAGAGCTTTTCAATGCTCATATATAATATATTATAACGTAGTGGAAACCATTACAGTGGCGCGCTTTCCTGCAACACCTTGTCACAGGAACTCAAAAACGAACTGCAGCCAACGTGCTGTGCTGTGTGGATTCGCGATACACAAGAAGGCGCTTAAAGTTACAAAATGTAGCATCGATGCTCGCGCTTTCGTCAGAGATTCCTTATATATATATATATATATATATATATATATATATATATATATTTGTGTGTGTGTATGTGTATTATGAATAATTGAGCATTTAGAAAACAAGTTTCGTATTTCGTAAGTTTGTACGTGGGAAAGTTGATTGCGAGTCTAACCTGCAACAGCACCCGGTGACACAAGCGCCTTCTATCATAGCACCCTCGAGCCGGTCCCCGGTTGAGATACAAGGCCCGGGTTGTGCCCATTCATTTCGCACGGTGGCAGTGTCCTGATTTCACATTCCTCTCTGTGCCAATAGAAACACAAAATAAATAGTGGTGCTAAACAGCGCGTACTTTCTCGCCCGCGTTTTCACGTAAAATTACGCGAAAAATACTCAAAGTTTCGAAAAGTACTCAAAGTTTCGAAAAATTGTGCATGACCTATTTAAAAATCTACCTTTAAGGAGCAAATAGTATTAAGGAAAAAACATATCTGCCTTTAATATTGTAGTTGTAGGAAGACTCGGAAAAAATATTGAACTTTTGCAATTTGTGAAACATCAGGGTTTTTAACAAACATGCGACCAGAACCATTCTCTTAAAAGTCCTTTACACAATGCAACAACAAAATGTAATCAAAAAGATAAAAATTTTGAATATGTCCCAGGACTTCATGTAACAACTTCTACAATTAAAATGTCGGTTTTAAATTCAAGTGCCGCGACATCAGTCAGATCGATAAGGGAATATCAAATTCGAAGAAAATCAGCTGAACGGTTTAGCCGCAAGCGTTGTTCACAGACGGACAGAGGGAAGGACGGACTGACAGACGGACGGACAGACGTTTTGCCTTCATTTTATTTTTCAATATCAAGGGCCCACAAAACATGGATTCTGGCTACACCGCGTGCTAGAGGATTTTTTTCTTCTAAACCTAGCAACTGGATTTATCCACTTTTTCGTTTTCTATAAAAGGCATTTTCTGCCGAAAATTCGCCGTTTTTTCGCGCAGCGCTACATAACTTTGTCTCTACTGCGTAGCGAGAAACTAAAATGCAGAAAGTAAACAATCGATACTTGCAAGAAAATTCAGCTTTGTGAAAGGGACCATTATGGACTGGAGCGATTTATCTGCGGAGGTGCTAGCGACCCTTCCCAGAAGCATGCGAATTATGCTCTCGAGAATAATTAAGAACGCAACTGTTGAGTACAGTGACGTACTGTGAAGCACAGTGAAGGCCAACAAAAAATGCGGGAGTTGTTGCGATGTTTATACGTGCCTTTATTGAATAAATTACTGGTTACCGACGGGAGATGCAGTGAAGTGAAAAGAGGGGTACGGAGTACAGATGGGGACATTTTATCTATTTTTTATTCTTGTCAATTACGAGTTTTCTTTCATTTTTGTTTATTTGTTTGTTTGTTTTTTAATTTACGTATGTATTGTTTGTTCTAATGATTATAATTGTTTTACTTCCAGGCATCTCCCCCAGCGGGGGCCGTTCCAGCCAGGCTCTCTCTAAGTTCCCGGCAGGACTCTCCAAACGTGTGGTAGTAGTGCATGTAAGTAAGAATATGTTAGTAAGAGAAGAGGAGAGGAAAATGAAGAGGAAGGAAAGATCACGCGCGGTCCGTGGTCCCTTTGTTAAGGAACTGCTCTGGCATTCGCCTGGAATTGATCGGAAAAACGAAAAAGTATCGATCAGAGGAGCCGGCCACTGAAATTCTCCTCCAGACAACGGGAAGTCGACCGCGCTCTGTAGCTGGAGCCGGAAATCCGCCACTGTGGCACTTGACGTCTAGGACCCCCGTTGCAGATGCAGTGGGAATGCGGGCTCTAACACTATCCACTAAGCTAAATTTAACCGGTCATTTTTTTACAAAAATCCTGTAAACGGTTTGGGCGCTAGAATATCCACTGACAGAGGAACAGACGGACAGAACTTTTTAACAAACAAAAATCCCTTTTTCGGTAACAAATACGCCCAAAATGTAAATTTCCGTCAAAATCTCGACCCTCAATTTCTCCAAAATTCCTTCCTCTCAACCTTCCTGCAAACTTCGTCTAATCTCCGTATGCTCTAGTAGTCGAGAAAGCGAAAATGCCATTGCGCTAGGCGTGAATTGGCGAAAGAAGCCATCGATCGCCCGCGTCCTTGAGAAGGCAGCAATGAAGGGGGCAGGCGCCAGGAGCGTTATCGGGAAGTCGTCGCGCGACGGGGGCGGGGGCCAGCGCCCCCGCCGGGGCCCCATCGACCGACGGACGGGAGGTCGTGACCTCCCCGCGCTGCGCCGCGCGTATCGAGCGGGCCGGCAGCGACCACCGGGCAGTGCCCGCTCCCCCCCCCCGCCCCCACCTGGCGCGATAACAGCGAAGAACGCGGCGCGGGAGGGCCCTCGTCCCTCTCACGGGCGTGTGACCCGGCTCTTTGGCGCAGCGAGGGCGAGATAACCACAGCCGCGCCTAAGAATAGATGGTTACGTAACTACTAAAGAAAAAGAAGTATCCTTTGGCGTACGGATAAACATTTTGAAATGAGTATGCCAAAGACAACTTTGCTTGAATGGCCTGTATTAATTTAGTACGAATACACGGAAACGTAACAGAATCTGGTCTCGGCTCTAATCAACATTACTGGAGACGACAGCCATGTTGAATCATGTCGTCCCAATGTTTTGTTTACTTTGTGGTACCCAGACCTTTAGTTTTCTCTGGAATGCGCGTACTGCAAAGTAACAGCTATAAATCAATAAAATGTGAACGGACTAGTGCGGAAAACTAGTGAAATTATATATTAAATTTATAGAATGATATTAGCAAATTACATCAGCATAAATATATTAAATTATATTAGCAAATTTTCACTGAAAAATTTGAAACTGTCTTTAAGAAGATGTTTGAGCGTTTCTGAAAACACGCCATTTTGAAAACACAGATAAGTTTATAGAAATTCAGACATTCACAGAAAAGTATTGCGTTTTCGAGAAACGTCGTTAGAAATAATTTGATATACTTTTATTCACAAATTTAATAATATATCAAAATATCAATAACGTAAATATTAACGACGTAAGTGATATATAAAAAATTACATTTATGTAATTATTGAAAATGTAAATTTTGAGTTTACGGCATGTTATTCCGTGCAGATAGTACCATCTGTATAAAAAGTTAAAAAAAACAATTTGGAGCCGTCATCGCGAGATATTGTTTTTTTAAAATTGCCTTTATTGCAAGCAAAAATATTTAAAAACTATCAATATTTTGAAAAATGTATACATTCTCATTTAAATGACCAATTTTAAAAAGCAAATTTTAATCCAAATTCCATAAAAATCACCTAAAAAATTAAAACATCGGTTTCAATTTCAAGGGGTCGACACATCAGTCAGAATGATTGAGGAATACGAAATTGTTTCTTACAATTTAGTCGCTAGCGTTGTTCACAGATAGAAAAACGAACACGCGTTTTGCCAAACACCTATTTTTCGGTACCAAAAACTCACCAAGCATGAATTCTGACTTTATAAAGTGTTGTAGGAAGTAATTTGCTAAAAATAGGAACAGAAATTATATATTTTTTTCGGTATTAGGGATCTAAAGTATGATTTTTTCCGCTGAACAATAGCCGTTTTTTTTTGCAGGATTACTTAACTGTCTCTATACTACGTATTTAGTTTGCTAGAAAGTAAAATATCTCAATTATATAGTTAAGGGACGGGTACAAAATTATTTACAATTTTTGCAAATTTCGAAATTTTAAAGTTTTTACGAAAAATAAACATACGTCACTAATATAAATGAACTTTATTATTCCGTAATGTGTGACGATACTAATATCGTACATTTTATCCACAATGTAAAAATTCTAACGTTCTATAATTTTTGTTTAATTTTGATTATTCATCCTGCGAATTCTTATTAAGAAACTGACCTCAGTTTCGTGAAGTTTGACCGTATACCAAATCGGATAAATATTATATATCCACAAAACAGATGTACTAGTAGAAGCAAAATAACACAATCTCACACCATAAATTAAGGCTAAAAGAAGACTTCTTGATTACACTATCTAATTCTTTCACCACAAGCTTTTTTTAAAAAAGTGCTGTATTGTGGTCTTTAGCGTTCTTCTTATCAACATGAAATCCACATCGCTTCCCTTCAGTTAGAACGAAGCCCTTTTCCGTCAGCTAATTAACCGCAATTTGTTTTCTACATCTTGGTTTTCCGTCCCAAAAACCTTATCAAGGCTGGGGATCGCCTTAATTACTCTAAATAAAAATTACTTCGTACAATTTTTCATAAAAAAATGTGTGTGTGTGTGTGTGTGTGTGTGTGTGTGTGTGTGTGTGTGTGTGCGCGCGCGCGTGCGTTTGTGTTTTAAAAGGAAAATTTTGTTGCTACAGAACAATAATTTGCGTCAAAGGATATCTATATCAGGTAGAATAAGTAGAGGTCATTTCAGAACTTTCAAGTTTCAGAAGAAAGAATAACAATCTAATTAAATAAATTAATACTCTAAATTCATCTACATTTCAATTGTTTGCATTTTATTATTTTAAACAATACGTAACTTTGGAAACAGTTACGTGAACCATGAGCAACCTTTTAAGAATTTCACAATTACAATTACTAAATTTAATTTTCAGTTATAGTCAATTTTGATGTTCAGATGACTTGTAAATACATTTTTAAAACATCAATAAATGAAACTTGTTTTCTGATTAGATAGCCGATATCGCCAAGGCAGTAGTGCCGTAGCGGTCTCGAACCAGAAGATCGCGGATTTGAGTTCCGCCTCGGGCATGGATATATTTGTGTACGCGCGCGCGCGTGTGTGTGTGTGTGTTACGTCCTATCACCCCTCATTATCATCATCATTTCCTCTTCCATACCCAAGGACTAACAACCATGGTGGATAAATGTATCTACTTTACCCTGCTTCTTCAATATTCCGTTATTTTTGTTATTTTACAAATGCGTAGACTGGTTGAGAGGTTTCAAGGTAACAACTGTTCCATGCGGCATCAGTGATTGACAGGACCCACAGTTCGACTATAGTTGCATAGCCCCCGCAGGGAAGAAATGACGGCCTGACGCTCTTGGAAGCTGGATACGTCCACCCGGACTCTTCTTGTTTCTTGGCGGTACCCACGTCGTTGGCGCCAAGGTGGGTGCAATGAGTAGGCGATGGTTGATGGTTTGGGGCAGAATTGGGGCAAAAGTGGGAATTGGGAGCGCGACTTGACCCAAGTCCACATAAATACGTTCGACAAGGAATCTTGAAATCTCCCGTCACCTTTCCTTAGTTTCCAGCATATCAATTGTTCGTACTAATTGGAGTGCAGTGATAAAATATGCACTACAAAAACGGGTCTAAAAACCATACCAGCTGACGCCCCCGAAAACACGAAATAATCAGTAAAATGAAAGAAACTCAAAACTATGCATTTTCACAACCATGGGGCCGTTTTTGAGAAAACATTATTCAAAGAAAATTAAAAATTACCTATATTTCACGCAAAATTACGCGAAACGTACTCACCTTTTCGAAAAATTGTACCTGACCTTATTTTAAAATCTATCTCTCAGGAACAGACTTTTTAGGGGGGGATCTCTATCTTCATAATTGTGGTTGTGGGAAGCCGCAAAAATATTTTGAATTTTTGCAATTTTCGAAAAATTCGCGTTTTTAGAGGACATCATACCTGCACCATCTCTTCAACGTCCTTCACAACTATCCAACAAACTTTAATGAAAGCGGTGAGGCCATTTTTTTTTAATTTTCAGGGGCACACCACCACCACCACCACCACCACCACCACCACCACCGTCACCACCACCACCACCACCACCACCACCGTCACCAAAAAAATAAGATATCGCTTTCAAATTCAAGGAGCCGGTCATCATCGACATCGACGAGCGAACATAAATTTTGGAGAAATAGGCTGAACGAATTAGCCGCTAGCGTAGTTCACAGACGGACAGTCCTTTTGCAATCAATCGATTTTTCGGTAACAAGGACCCACAAAACATAACGTGGCTACATCACGTGTTAGAGGATCTCCCCCTCCCTAAATTTTGCCACTGGATTTATCCACGTTTTAAAGATAAGATAAAGATACATTTATTTGAACTGCAAATGGGCATAGCCCGGTGACAGCTAATTACATAAATTACCATTAGTTACCGAGACCCTGCAATTAGAGCTTTTCTGACGAAAACTTGCCGTTTTTTCGCGCAGCATTACATAACTTTCTCTCTACTAGGTAAGCGATAACGAGAAAGTAAAAAATACATATTGTAAAACGTATTTTGAATTGTAGTACTTGTTTGCTTCACTGAAACAATATTTTACCTTACATTAGATCATTAATATATTCTTAATGTTGTCAATTATGAAGGATATTAAAGTGTTTTCCTTTTTAAAATAGAGGCAATGGAAGCGGTTCTCCGCGACTTCCTGACTCTCAAATTCTGAGTTAGAGGCAAACCTCAGAGCGACAGCAATTATCTCCCCACCGCAACCGGGAAGAAATCTGTTTTAAGTGCAGCAGTAGTCACACAGTCTGGAGTGAGTGAACATCATTCGCAGTTAGCCTTGTTTTCTCAGAGCGGGTAGTATACTCGAGACATGGATTTCAGGTAAGTCTCAATTGCATCAATTCCATGTTAAATTGATATGTAAATATCTGATTGCCACTTTACAATTTGGTGGGTTGCAACTAATCCAATAGGCATAGATGCCAAATTTTATCTGGAATATCCATCTGAAAATGGCGCAATGCTTTGTTGATTTAAGCATTTCTTCTCTAATTAAAATAATCGCAGATCGAAATTAACTAGAACTAGTAAATGAAATAACATTTTTATTGTGATCTAAATTTATCTTTAAAAAATTTCGATTTAATACGTTTAGGATAAGTAGTTAGACCAAGATATCAAACGAGGAAAGTTTATTATAACTAGTGGTGCTACAACAGCTTGTACTTTCTCTTTTTTAAATTTCCAATTTTTACAAATTCTGGAAATTCAAGAAAATGAGACCTTTGACATTCTTTTAAGCGTTTCTTTTTCTATCCGTGGAAATAATTTGAAGAAAAAATTTGGGAAGTTTTTAGAAAAAATGATTTTTTTTATAAATTGCATTTCTTTCAATCACAAATTACGCAAAAGTAACTCGGATTTTCAAAACGTTGTACATGGCGTTGTATTTTGGTAATTATACATTGTTAAATAGTTCATTTTTTAACATTTCGTTTAAATCAAATGTATCTATCTACAATTTTATAGGTTTGAAATGTTAACTTTCTGCAATTTTCGAACCTACAAAGAGTTTGCACTTTGCAATTTGAAATAATAATAATAGCACTAATTTTCACATACAAAGAGAAACTAAAGAAAAAAATTGGAACAGTTTTTTGAAAAAATAATTGTTTAAAAATGTTTAAAAGTTGCCTATATTTCATATAAAATTACGCAATGTAGGCATTCATGATAAAATCTGGCATTTATGATAAAATTAAACTAAGTATAACTGATATTTTTCTTACAATCGTTTTGAATCGTCTTGTCGAAAAATATGCAGAATTCATAACGTGAATAAAGAATACACAGTATTGGACTATATCAAAATTGTTCCTTTTTTCCTTTCTTCTTATTCTCTCCGTAATCTTGTTTCTCTTTATAATTTTCTATTTCTTCCTCCTTTTTTTCGCCTCATCATCCTCCTTCTACTTCAACTTGGGGCTCCAGCTGATATAAATTTGCACAACTGCAGGGGTACTGCAACGCAAAATCGTATAACACATTGACGTGTAGCGGGTTGCCTAGTAAAACGACGGACTGCGCTGTGCTACACGTAATCTTTCAGGAGAGGAAAATAAGCCGATGAATGTCGATGAATAATTGTCTGTGAATTTCCCTCATGTTGCCAAACTGCTGTATCACTGCATTACGTGGGGTTTCGCATAGCGCACAAAATCGCAACAGCTGCTACGTGGTGTTTTCAGTATGTATCTACCCTCCCGTTCATGTAGACGTTCGTAGGGCCGCGAGCGAAGTTGGCAGGTGCCTTTATGGGTATATTATGCAGAGAAAAATCTTCAATAACATTTTCACTTTAGATCATTGTGTGACGTTTCTGCGTTCTTCTTTGAGGGTTGTGGTGTCTTCTGTGGCGTTAACTGCCATGAGTGGCCCTCAAAAACTTTTGGCGATAGTAATATAGTATGTCTTTGACGTGTGTTCCTTCATTACAATAGAAATAAATAAATATTTGAATTTGCGAAGCAGATAAAAATTTCCAGACCCATATACTTCAAGGAATATTATACTAGAGTGGAAATTTCATACGAAACCCTTTTCCTAACACAAATATTTTAGCTATAATGTAAATTATTTGTTTCAAATTTCGACACGAAGACGTATTCTAAGAAAAGAAATCTCCATTCATCACGAGTAAATTAGACCGTATTTTTTCTCCCGTATAATAATACAGTAATATGTTACGCAAACATTTTTATGACTGCAATAGTACTATCTAAGTACAATGCCCACAACATTTGGCAACATCAGGAAAAATCAATTGTACATCGCCATTCATCGGTCTATTTCTGTGTCTTAGACAATAACCAAGTTGTTAGTGGGCTCCAGCTGTATCGAGGCTTCATAAACGAGAAATATGAATCTGCAAAATGCACGGTTGGTAAAGTGAAACAAGACCACACAATAACCGATCAAAACAAGAACTCTGCCTTTCTTCCTCTTCTTCTCTTTTTCATCTCCTCTTAGTTTCTTCCCTTTCGCTTTCTCTTTCCTCTTCTTCTTTTCGGTATACCAACTTAACTTAATTAAATTGTGAAAATTGCAATTGCTGAAACACGCACACACACAATGTCTAAGGGTAAACAATGAAACTTGGAAAATAAGCTCTTAAGGCAATTTTAAGCATATTTTATCTTATAAACTCCTTGAATATTCCGAATGGCTGAGCCGCAATACGCACTCTAAAGTTGGTTGGAATAAATACTTTCTATTCAAAAATTTGCATTTCGGAAGTATATAAGCACTCCAGAGCATGTACATTATTTATTATTTACACACGAAATGAATATATTTGTTCAGAAACAAAAATTAACACAGAAATAAAAAAAGCTCCCAATTTACAATTCGACTGCTCTTTTATTTGTGTTAATTTTTCTTTGCGAACAACGTTTTCTTTGTGAAAAAAATTTCTGCACAAAATATTCCTTGACTTCCAACGATAACCTGATTTACCAGAGCAATGAAATTCCCATATTTTCCCCGGTTTTTCCATGATTTCCAGAATATGGCCACCCTGACTCCAAATGCATGGTCGGCCATTGTGAACGCAAATGATCCTAGCTGTCCGGATGACGCCGCGACGAAGGCTAACGTGCCGACTTTTCGGCTATCTTGTCGTGGTCTTCCTCAGGGCTGGTCTGCCAAAGGCCAGGGACGAACACGACAAGATAGTCGAAACGTCGGAATCGCAATGCTATTGAATCCGCCGCAACGTTTGGCAACATGAGGAACAGTCCCAATTGTACTTCGCCATTCATCGGTCTATTTTTATGTCCACGACAATAACTGAGGGAAGTGAGGCGTCGCGGCATCGCCCGGGCAGCCCAGATGATTTGCGTGGCTCTGGTCGCACGCGGCAGCTCGCGCCCTGACCGGCGCTTGCGTTGGCGCAGGTGGCGCGCGCGGTGGGCGTGGCTGGCGCTGGGCGGGCTGGCGCTGGCGCTCGGGGAGGGCGCGTGGGCGAGCAAGGACAACGAGGACGCGGACGCCAACACCCTCGGCGCCGCGCAGAGCAGCCGCAGCGACTGGTGCGCGCGCGTGTGCGGCGACGTCGGCCGCTGCCCCCAACCCGTGCCCCCGCTGCGCTCCGCCCGGCCTCCCGCCACCGCACCGCCCCGTGCCCTGCACCCGTGTGCCCGCAGCCTCTCGTCAAACCTCACTGCCCCAAGCCCAGCTCCCCGCCACCGTGCCCAGCGCCCGTCCTGCCCGCGGCCCTGTCAACCTCACCTGCCCCAAACCACACTCCCCGCCCCCGTGCCCCAGCGCCCGTCTGCCCGCAAGCCCCTCGTCAACTCACCTGCCCCCCAACAGCCCCCTGCCGAAATCGACGTGCCCCGCCTGCCCAAATAAAAAAAAAAAAAAAGAAAAACCACAAAAGAAACGCCGCCCCCGCGGCCCCGCCTCCCCGGGTACCAAGGCCCCCCATACGCTCCCGAGGGCTTCTATTACAAGGTTTACAAAAACCCCACCACTTGGGATGACGCGAAACACATCTGCTTCAATGACGGCGCTTACTTGGTCATCCCCAAAACACAGGTGAGGTTTCCTCAAAGGCCACAATTAATTTTGAAAAAATGCTGCGGACAACTCCAAAACTATCGCAGCATTTTTTTTTTAATAATTTTATTTTGAGGCGCATTAACTGTACAGGTCAACAATCTTCACAAGGTCTACAAAATGTTGTTAATTACATACTTTCTAGACATTTAATAATAATTTTACATTCCTGGGTGACCATATTAGAGTTAACAACACACAATACTACATTAAATTTGACGCATTAATACTGGAAATAATGAATAATCAGTTGTTCAATTTGTTACCGTTTTTAATAAATATTACACCGGATAAATAATCAGGAAGCACTAATATTTCTACTTTTTATATCATATTTTGGGAAAGTAAGAACTCTTTTGTAATTCAACTTCTTGGTACATCTTTAAATTAAGTTGCACTAACCACAATATTATTACCGACACTTTGAAATTAAACAATAACTAGCAAAACTTGTTTAAAGCTGTGATTGCGAATCGGCAGTACTTTGATATTTTGAGAGGTTTTTGTGTCCTTGAGATCTCAGTCTTCTAACAAATAAAATAGAACGCTCTAGTGAAAAGTCACAGATGAAATGAACCACGAGCACCCACGTGATCGTGAATCTTGACATCTTATTGGTTACATGGACATGTTTTTTATTGCTCGCAACAACACGGTGGACATATTGGATTTTGTTCCTCGCCTGAACCTCGTATGTTTACAAGTAAAAATATTAGGGATATATTTACGTTTGCTCCTCCACATCGGGACAGAAGATGTAACTAACGGTCATTAGTATTACTGCAATGCTAACATTTGTTCGCTAATGGACATATTTGTTTTTGCATGAACGCTCCTCAGACATTAATTACCACTTAATTGCCTTAAGTCGTGTGTCAATTAGTTTGTGTTTTCGTTGCGGTAACACCGATATTATTACTCGTATACATATGTATGGAGAAGTATACGCAGTATGGAGGAAGTTATGTAATTCTGGGGAAAATCGTTTTCGAGATTTGAACGGGAATACACGTTTTGTGGTCCTCTGAAAACGAACTTTTTTTTACCATACGTCCATCTGCGAACATACTAGTGCCTAAACAATTTTCCCCCAAAAAATGTTCTCCGGTCAATCTGGCCCCTACTCGAAGCTCTGAAAAACATTCTTAAATTTTGGGAGTACTTTACACGAAAACCGTTTCTAGACTTATTTTGAACGAGAAAGGACGATGACGTCACGAGATCACCGTGAATTCTTGTTGTGCATATGCCATGAAATATGGATCATTAAGCTCATGAAAGCTGCGAGGTTTATACCTCCGAGCGGTACTTTTGGCAGTGCTCCACGGACCTGCCATCAAGGAGTTGTTTCAAACGGGAAACGAGTGGTGCTACAGAATGGCACAGACTTTCCTGTATTCGTTTTTTATTTCCTTTGGTCTCATCTTGCAATACGGACTTGCCACAGCGTCGTGCCAGCTGCCATCTATCGCCACTCAAAGTCCATTTTTTGACATTTTCAATTTCCTAATAGTATAACGGACATATTATTTTAAGATTATTAAAGAACAGTAAAACCTCGCCCTAAATGGCAATTTTCTTTTAAAAATTTGACGCCGTTTTTATAAAAATGTCGTTTAAGCGCTATTGTAAATTCGAAATTTGAACGTCTGTTCACAGAAAACTATTGAGTTTTCGAAAAACTTCATATGATGTCATTTCAAGCACTTCCAGTCACAAACGCAATAGTGTTTACAAATCTCTGGAAATGTGTATATTGAAAGCGTGAGAGATATTTTAATATAATTACATTTGTGTAACTTTTTTAAAAAACAAATGAATTCAGGAAAATTAATTCTACTTCATCTTAAACAGTGCAATTAGCACTGTGCACTATCGGAAAAGTTTGAAGAATAAATTTGGAGCCGTTTTTGAGAAAATGGCGTTTCAGCGTTTCTGAAAATGCCGAATTTTGTGCGAACATTTTTGTAATTTTTGAAAAGATACAAGAATATAGTAATATAGTGATTATGTCAAAGAAAAAATTTGGAGCCGTTTTTGAAAACAACTTGTTTTTGCGTTGTTTTTTTTGAAATTTCAAAAATTGAACGCAATAATGCACGAAAACTACAAAAATTTTCAAAAAAATGTACTTGACCTTAATGAAAGAACTAATTATGACCAACAAATTTTATATGAAGGAAACACCTCAATCTTCAATTTAGAGTAGTAGGAAAACACGAAAAAAATTCAAAATTTTGCAATTTTCGAAAATTTAAAGTTAACCGTGAATATTGGACATATGCGAACTTTATAAGTATATTTTACACTATTCTTACAAAAAAATGATATAAACAAATTTGGAAGCGTTTGGACAAAATTTGGAAAATGCGGAGGGGGGAAGTATTCCCAAATTTTGAAAAATGTTTTTCAAAATAGCGGCGCCTCGAGTGGAGTAAGATCGATTCGGGAATATCCATTTTGGAAAAAATCGTACGAATGGTTTAGCCGCTAGTCGTGTTCCCAGACTGACGGATGGATGTTTTTGAAAAAAAAAAGGGGGGAACTACACTTTTTCGGTATCAGGGGACCCCAAAACGAGTATTTCAGTTGAAATTTCGAAAACGATTTTCCGCAGCATTGCATAACTTTCCTTTTACAACGTATATTACTTCGTATGTATATGTACACGGAAAAGTAAACAGTAACCCACAACATATAAGTATATAGTACTGAGATGGTGGCGTAATCGAACTTGAATGTGTAACAATTTTACCATTTATAGTGTTATAGTTAACAAAATAAACAGAATTACCCACTAAAGCTTAATTGCTACATGAAACAGATTACTTTATAAATAAAAGTTAAAATGTAGTTATTATCAATTTCAGGTGGATACACTTTAAACTAGGAACAATAATTCAAACAGATTTGAATATAGTTTTAATGCGTAATTTTAAGCATTTTCTAAAATAACTTCATCAATATATATGCATAACTATTATTGTGAAGTTAAACTGAGAAATAGTATAAATATCAAAATATAAATCGTAGAAAATTAAAGAAAATAATATTACTTTGAAATTAATATATTTTATTACATTTTGAACATTTCCGGTATTTATTTATTCTACAGGAAATGCAATGATACCGAAAAATACACTACGATGTTTGCATTTAGACGCAAAAGTGCACTAAAGTTACACTTTTGAAGAATGATGTGTGCCATCTAAAATGTTTTTAGAAACTGATGCAAGTGCGAGATGCAGGGAGTATTACGTCGGCAGTAAACTATACTGTTTCTCAGGACGCAATGGTACTTGTACAACTCCCTGCAGAAAACCTACTGGATTTGCATCGAAGTTTATCAATTGGTCTGCATTTGAAATAAGGCGGCAGAGCTTTTGGTTCTAAGCAACTGGCGAAGACACGTAAAGTACTTAAAATAAAATAAAAACATGTAATTTCGATGTTGTAACACGTATTCCATTTCCCAGTTCCACTTTACAATTATACTTGGAAGGAAGGGTGTTACAATTTTTTATCCCGGGTATTAGAAAAACTTAGCTCAACCACTTCTATCAGCACGCAGTTGGTTTCCAGCACCAGCCACAATCGATTGTAATAGGTCAACTCCCGGCTATTTTATAAATCGGAAATCAACGCCATTTTTGTCGTCCTATTACAGTACCAATCTCGTGGATTTTATAAGGGAAGATTGGATTGATTTATCCAACGTAACAAAACGAATATCCACTAGTGAAAACGCGTCATACTGACGAATCATTCTTTATTTACATAAATTACTTGTAAGTCGTATTGAAGCTTTGCTACGCGTATCGAATTTCATGACGAGCCTCCGGCCTTCGCTCTATGCGCTTAACATAAAACATCCTTGATCTGCCCGACGTATAATTCTCAATGCGTTTTCAAGTAACTCGGAGGCTGCCGCGTTCGTCTGTATCGAAAGCAGGCTCAGGGAACAAGTTTTTGATCCCGGCACAGCTCTAAACATGCTTTCTCCACATTCACAATTTCTACAAACTTCACCCTATTCATTTGCGTTTTTGGGCTGCACATGAGTCACCAAACGGTTGGCAAAATGGCATTATGAAAACATACAATTGTTAGGTTGGCAACAGATTACAACAAATAAAGAACGCATGCCGCCTAGATTCCCTGTAAGTAAACTTGGTATCAGTTCCTAGTAATAGGTTTTTAATAAAACATTCCTTTTTAGGATGAGGTAGAGGCGCTGAAGCGCCTGATGAAGAAGGAGGAAATAAATAGTGCGTACGTTGGCTTCCACGATAATTATCACGATGGCCAATTCTTCACTGTCCTGGGTAAGTATATATAAACATTAAAAATTTGGCTCTTGATTCTTATGTGGCATCCATAATTTCAGAACAGTCATTCTCTCGCGTAAATATTTAAAGAAAATAAAATCATTCAAAGGGCAGTACTACGACATGGCACAGGATTATTTGTATTACATCCAATGGATTGGTAACTTTATAATTAAAATATAGTTCACAATAATAAATAATCGGATGTAGTGAACCAAAATAAAATATAATTTCTCCACAATTATTGATTTTTTAATATACAGCTCCTGCAAAAGTACATTATGAAACGACTATGTAATGATGGGTGTTAATACACAGGTATATAACGATACGATCTCCTTACGTGCTCTAAGTATCTCAGCCTTGATACCTTTCAATGTCACTTGTACTGCTGGAACTCTATCATACTCTACGAAGGCCCTTTTACTCGACTCATAACTAGACCCCCGATTTGAGGACAAATGCCTATTTAATTCCTTTACGAGATTGTGGAAAAGAAATTCAGTTGTTTATTAATCATGAAAAAATATATCTACTAAGAGCAGTAGTTCCGCTAATAGTTCCTAAAATGTTCTAAAGGAGCGGTTGATGCCTATTTTAATATTTTTTGTCTAAAACTGCCAAAAATAATTTAAAAGGAATAACATATTTTAATTAATTATATTTTAATTTTTTGCATACCGAAACGCGAATATTCCCTGATCGTATATGCAATCGACTACGCTTCGAAAAACTCGAAAACCGAACATACGGAGATCTGAAAGTTATTACAACGCCAACGCCAGTGGTGTTTTGTCCAGCTCGCCTGACTCTTAGGGGGGTCTCTTCAAGCTCGGTTTTAGATGGTGTCTCTACTACTGCGACTCGACTCCTCTCCCCCGTACAGGGGACAGGGTTCGGAAGTCTAGGTGTTGAAAGAAAGATTATTATTAGGGAAGTCGGGGAAAAGGATACCTGGGCGACGGGGAAATTGAGGAATGATAAGGATTGGGTAAGGAAGGGGCTGCGTTGAGGGAGCAGTAGGCCAGATGAGAAATTTTGTCGGAGAAAATCTTTTAACTTTCTTTCGGTACTTGTAGTCTCGTTAGTACTTATTGTCGTTATTGTTGTGTGTCGATGCGTTCTGTCTTCGTCGAGTCCCGTGTGGCTGTGCGCCCTCTGTCTTAAGTGACGGGGGAAGGGAGTTGTGCGATGTCGAGTGGGTGTTGTTTCCGGATTGATCAGGGTGGGTTTTGGAGGATGTGGTGATGGGATAGGATTAGTTTCCGCAAGAGGGCGTTATTGATGCATTTCCTTGTGCAGGCTATTGATGAATGATGTAGGTAAACAAGGATGTGAGTAATTTTTTGATTGGATCTTAGGGATTTGAAAGACGCGTACATGGGTGGGCGGAATATGGTGTGGAGTACGTGGGTTTCTGCTTGGGTTATTTTTATGCGATTTCTTTGGGACGTGGCAAATCAGGTGGGGTGAGCGTAGTATAGGATAGGATGGATGTAGGTGTAACAGGTTTGGATTTTCTTTTGGGCTGGAAGGGTTGTTTTGAAAGACCCAGAGGTTGAGTGCATCTATTGTCAGTTGAAGTCTGTGAAGAGATCGGGTTAGGGAGCGGAAGGATGTAAGAAGGACGAGGGAAGTTTGGACTCCAGGGGTGGGTGGGATGTCATTAACGAATATGGAGAAAAGGATGGGGGATTGCACGGCTCCTTGTAGGACGCAGGCTTGGATAGGGTAATTGGGTGAGGTTTTGGAGAGGTGACGGATGTAGAAGAAACAATTGTATAGGTAACTCCAGAAGTGAAAGGATGTAGTTTGGTAGATAGGGGCGGATTTTCATCAGTAGGATGGGGTGGGAGACGGAATCATAAACTTAGGTTAGGTCTGTCAGGGATTTTTTTTCGGTCTTGGATTGCTAAGGATAGGTTGAGGGCCGGAGCCGCCCTCTCGGAAGCCAAATTGGGAAACACTAATAATTAGGTCTAGGATGGGTGTTAGGCGGAGAAGAAGGATTTTCTCAAAACGTTTACTGAGGATTGGGAGAAGGCTAATAGGGCGGTAGTTACAGAAGAGATAAGATTTTCCTTGCCAGGTTTAGGAATCAACATAACGCAGGCGATGTTCCAGGCAGTAGGGGTATGATAATTTGAGGTAGGAGTTTAGGATAAGGGTAATTAGGTCAATTGCATTTCTGATTAGGTTCTTTAGTTGGGATGGGGAGACTCCATCAGGTTCTAGAGTCTTAGTTCAATCAATCGTTCGTAGTACTTGTCTTAGCTCTTCGTCGTTTGTTGTCCAGGTTTGTTGTTTGTTGGGGGGGGGTCGAAGGAGACTTGAGATAATTGAGGATGACATTGTCGGGTATTGGGTTATTGGGAAGTAGAAAGCGTACGGCAAGGGATTGGCCGAGGGTGATGGTAATTATTTGTGGGTCAAAGGCTCGGGTGTTGTTTATTAGGATGGGGATATCCGGGAGGGGGAATAGCGTACTGCATTAATTACTTTGTGTATATTGTTGGGACTGTGGTTGTCCATCACTAAGTCGTCATATTTATGTGTCTCGTGTCGTTGGAGTAGGGTGTGTATCCGTATTTTGATTTGCTTTAGTGATTTCTTGTCTTCCTCTCGCCTGTATTTGTAAATGTGTCGTTAATATAACGAAAATGGTTCACGTTCGTTTCCGATCAGCACGCACTTCTTATGTAGTAATTGCACCCGTTCCCTGTGCCGATGCGCTGTAGACAGGTTGAGGCTTATCGCTGCGGCGCGTCATGTGCACAATTCAGGCGAAGAAAGACACAGAAGTGAAAGTCTACGGTCGGAAATGCAAAGATTACAAAATACGGCCCAGCAAAATACAAATTTTTCATTCATGCCCTCAACACTATCCAAGCTGGAACGCAAAGAAAAACATTTCGCAGATCAAGTGTAAGTGGTGCAAGACGCCGAAGGGAAAACTAGTGCTATTAAGAGAGCCGTTGGGGATAACGTAAAGTTCAAATGATGGAGGCATGATAAACAATTCAGGGTATGGTGTAATGGATCGAAAGGTACAAGTTTTGGTGGCGGAGAGCGTGGAAATTTCTGGAGAAGTAGACCCGAGAAATGTAACTAACTTTGCTCCTATAACATGTCAGTGGAAAGGTCCTTTTCAGCTTTTAATATAATTTTAACAGATACAACATCCCCTTACTGTACATAATTTGGAGAATATCTTGATTATAAACTGTGCTGCTAGTTATGAAAGTGAATAAAATAATATGCATGCAATCACATTCATAAGTGTGAAAATACTTGACTTTCCTGAATAATAGGAAGTGCCTAATTTAATGGTGATCCGTTTTAGCTGCCAGAAACGTAACTTTTCAAGTCTAATGATTTTTAAATGCCTGATTTAATCATCTTGTAACCTATTGTAAGTGCCTAAAACGTGGCTTTTCAATTTTGTTACCTATTTTAGGTGCCTAAATAATTACTATTTTGGACCTAAAATTTCGATGCCTACTCATAACATACGAGATCCAATCAGTAGCGGCATGTCGCAAGCAGCTAATGAAATTGATAGCTTTACCGCGCGACACGGGGGGTGTCACAAGGTAGTGCGGTTGTGGCAGTCGCACGCTTCCTGTCGTCTACGTAGAACACGCGCTTTGTACCACGGAATCTCAAATGTCATCAAGCTTGAATTTGAAGCAAGCAGTCGCGCGTCGCCGCCGCCCGTTGTAGCCAACGCAGGACATGGCATTTATTTCCGCAGAGAAAGTGAAGCTGTTCATCAGTAAGGTCCGCTACCTCCATCTCAGGGGAGACGTCTTCGATTATGACCTTTGGTCGGCCATATTTTCTCCAAGTTGCCTAGTGTTGGAATTTGTAGTACTGAAGTGATATATGTTTTTTTTCAGGGAGGAATTAATTTCCAAGATATATTTCTACTCTCGCTGTAGCAAAGGCTCAGAGTTCACTATAATCTACTCTTCTTGTACTTATTTATAATGCAATTGAAATGGGACCAGTGACTGAAGTTCACTACATCTTAGTTCACTATAACCCAAGTCAACTGTTTATTTTTGTGTTTGCTTTTGACCTCAAACTTCATATACTTCCTTTTCGATTCTTAGCAGTGTCTCTTCCTTAACAATATTTAAGCAGTATCGCAAAATAGTTACAAAAGATCAAAGCAATGTGCAGTGAAAATATTATAAATTTAAATATTTTATGAAACATTTATTGCTAACTAATTTTGAGTTGTTCAATTAATCTGAAATTAAGCTAGTGGTAGAGTCAACAATAGGAAATGCTTTTTGTTGTAGGGGACCCAATGAACAACGAACAGAAAAAAATGTGGGCCTCAAATCAGCCAGAAGGAGGAAACAAGGAAAACTGTGCACTCTTTTTTCAGGACGCAAAAATGCACGATTATCCTTGTACAACTCGATCTTTCTTTGTTTGCCAAATGCGACACTAGTGGCTAAAATTAATATTTTTCCACAACATTTCGTCTGACCATTGATGTTCTGTAAGCACAAGACGAATTACAAGATGATACAATAAATAAAATTTAAAATGAATTATTAGTTTTTTATTCATATTAATCATAGTAGTTTCTCTTATAAATTGGTCTTAATCAAACACCAATAATGCAACTGAAAACATTCTAAATATTCCAAATAGCATGACACATCTGCGATGTTTTAATTATACATTTATCACTAAACATTAATTTACTATCCAAATATATAACTTTTCAAATTAACGACTCTTGTTATTTAATATGAGAAGTCACATTTCTACCTCATGACTTCAGAAATTTGAACCATAATATGTGAATTATTTAGCTTTAATGAATTTTCCATTTTACAGCTTATTCTTGCTTGGCTATAGACTTAAAATTCTCATCCTGGTCTTCAAATTAACAGGAGCAAAACATATGTAAAGCATTCACCCTTTTTTTTATCAATCTTAGCTATAATAAACTCTAGTTAAAAACAATTAAAAAATGTAGTTAATATTCAAGAACTCACATGATACTACAATAATCCCTTTTAATCCACATAAATAAAAGACTGTTTGTACGTATGTGTCATAAAGCTGCAAACACAACTCAACTGATTTCACTGAAATTTTCACAGTTTTCTAATTAATACCCGGAGTGTTTACAAAGTGATTTGAATGAAATTAGAGAGTAGAGGATGTTGTTTTAACAGTGTTAATTGAAGAGCATCCCTGCGCCCTGGGACAACCTCATTTGAACTGCAACCTAGAGTATCTTTCAACTAGGACAATGCCTGGCTGAGCACCTCTCTTTGGCCACAAATGAGACATGATCAGACAGATTTTCAGACAAATGCCCATTTTACTCTTTTCACTTACATATTAATGCATAATAATAATAATAATAATAATAATAATTAGAACAAATGCCAGCGCATGAAATAGACTAAGGAGTTAAATATCTCCATTATGACTGTATACTTTTTGGCAACCAGACTTGAAGCAGTCTTGGAGAGATATAGGACGTGATTTCACGAAGAATGGTTAAAGCTGCATCCGTACATACCGGTATCTGAACAGAGAGTGTGCGACCAGCAGCGTACCATCACTGTAAGGAACTTTCTCTCTGCTGCAGAGATACCATTAGGGAGAATGTAAGAGCATCCTTGGGTATTGAGAATAGAGATGAGACTGATGAGGGAAGAAATAATGAAGACCCACAAGCTAATCAGAATTGGTCTATGGAGACGAATTCTGATGAATCCTGCTTCCCAGTGCATAAGCAATTCTCTTGAACTGCGCAGTATGAAGCCATACTATCGTAGTATTTCATTATCCTCCAGACCATGGAATCCACGAGTGGGATATGGCCCACGTACAAATGTGGCGAAGGAAGCTGTCAATAAGTTGAAGGGTTTTTTTTTATTTCTTTATTTACGTCAAAAACAGTTAAAATCTGTGTATGACGTGCTATGGGGAGAAGTTATTTTGAAGTTACATTTATGTCCAGAAGCAAAACAAGGGGCCATCTCAGCATTTGCTCGAGGATCAGGGAAACTAGACGAAAACCTGATTGAGATGGGGGTCATTGAAGCTGAAGTACAATACTTGTTACAGGTTCTTTACAATTATACAATCCAAATGCTATATAATACATTAAATGCCATTGTTAAAATTAATATTACTTTCCTTTAGAATGCTCTGTATAGGATTGTATAGAAACAGTTGTGCAGCAGAAAATATTTTACTTGGGACTTAAAACTTTTGTATCGAATTTAATCGTTTAATGTCATCTGGCAAGGTGTTGTAAAATAATGTACATGTATTATATGTGAATTTTTTGTAGTGAGCTGTTGATACTGTCACTTGATAAACATGATTACTAAGTCGAGTGTTGTAGTTATAGACAACGGCGTTTGCTGAAAATATATTCCCATCCGTAAGTCAGACATTTTTGACAAAAACCACTGTTTCATATATTAAGAGACAAGGTTGTGGTAAAATACCTAGATTAATGAACAGAGGCTTTCAAGAATCACGTGGGTGGGATTTGCTTATTATTTGTACAATTCTTTTTTGTAATATAAAAGTCTAGGAGCTATAGGATGTTATTAGATGGATGTAGATCAATCGACAGCGCTTGAAGTGGTAAGCTATGTGTCTTGTGCAGCCCTGACTTTTGTACAGGGTGTTGATAAACCTGTAAAGGATAAATTGAAAACATCGAAAGACACAGTACAGTCCGCTATGCCCACCAAGCCCCCATGGTTGAGGCGTGCAATGCAACATTGAAAGCTTTCAACGGGCTATAGGCACCCTGACAGCCTTCTTAAAAGCTCCTGAAAATGCAACTAGAAAGTTCTCCAATGCAGTGAAAACGATTGGACAAAAGATGAGAATTCGAAGAACTCAGACGAAGTTTGAGGAGATGCTCCGAGACCGACTTGCGAATCTAAAACAGCGTGTTGCAGCCCTTGGGTGCCGTATAAGAAGATACCACAAAGCAATGAAACGAAGACAACAGAATGCTTTATATTCATGCGACCAGAAAAAAAATTTCAGGCAACTCAACGATCTAAGAAAGTTCTTTGAAACAGTTCAAAAAAGCTCCAAAATAAAAGAATATTGAAGTAATATATAGATCATCCCCAACACCCATGATAATGGAGATTACTGGTTAGCAGAAGAGGAAGGGAAGTATTGTGATATACCCCAGATGTGCTCGCCTAATATTACACAGAGACATATCTTCAATTCAGTCAGAAATACGCAGAATTGGGATTCAAAACTTTTGGTGGAAGTATTTCCCATGTACTCGTGCGGTTCTGGCCAGGTGGTTTCAAGCTGCATTCAACGATCCAACTATCATGCCGGCATCTTTTACTGAAGGAGTTACATTTATGATAAGCAAGACTAGCGATTCTAAGATTCCGAGTAACTATCGACCTACCACACGTCTCTCCACAGTATATAACCTTTTTTACATCTGTGCTAGCCAGTATGCTGAATACCCATCTAAAGGCCAACAATCTTCTGGCACCAGAGCAAAATGGTTACACAAAGGGTGCCCAAGGTTGCCAAGAATTATTGATAATAGACAGTGTAGTAGTCAATCAAGTCACAAAAAGAAACCGCAACATTTCTGAAGAATGGGTTGACTATACCAAGGCCTTCAGCTTGATACTCATTCGTGACTTTTGTATTTCTTCCTCTTCGTAGGCCTTCCTCTCTACAATGTAAATGCCCAGTATGTGAACGTAATCCAACACTGCATGGCACCTTGGTGTACAAAGTCAGCTATACCAAGGAACTGAGGATCAAACGAGGATGTTTTCAGGGAGATAGCCTTAGTCCCTTACGTTCTCACTAGCACTAAACCCTTTCAGCAGAATATTTCAACAAGAGTTTCAGGGATGGGATATGAAATCAAAAATCCCCATATCCTCATTAATCATCAATTCTACATGGACGAGCTCAAGTTGTACGCCAGAGATATGAACCAGCTTTCCTCGTCGCTTGAATTTGTTAAGTCCTTTAGCGACTCTATTTGAATGTAATTTGGTATTGATAAATGCGCTGCATTCAGTGAAAGAGGGGGGGGGGGGGGGAAATCCTTTATCTTGACAAACCCATTCTGATGTGTGGCACAAATATCCAAGAACTTGGGCTAGAGAATACCTATAAATATTTAGGCCTGAATCAAATTTTGAGCACAAGTAAAGTAAAGCAGGTGCTCTGCTTTGGCACAAACAGAATACCTGAGTCAACACAACGACGTTGCTGCGACTGTCCATCGGGTCCTGGCTGCAAAGTCGGAGATGGTACAAAAAGAGGTCCCATACTACAATTTCAAGTCGGATTCAGTTTTGGAGTCGGAACGGTGGAAACTTTTGGAATGTAGCAGTCACCACTGATCGCACGGTCGGAGCCAACAGACCTGACATAATATGGATTGATGTGGCCTCACGGAAAGGGATTATAGTCGACATAGCTATCTCTTTAGACCGAAATATAGTTGCCTCTATTGCTGGGAAGATGCAAAAGTATCAGGCCTAGGCCATTGAACTGAGCGAGTTCGTTCTGTTGAAGTAGTCCCTGTAGTCATCTCTGCAAATGGACTGATTTCATCTTCTGCAAAACTTGGTCTTAAGAACTGGCACATGCAATGAATGCAAACGGCTGTTCACCTGAGTACTGCACGCATCGTGAGGAAGTTATTGACATAACTTTACGTTGAATCCTGACCGCCCGAGTTTGCAAGCGAGGCAGGCATCTTGATTCTCCGTAGGTCCCGGTGTCTGCTATAGGACACCTTGCTAAGCGAGAGTCTTGAAAGACAATAATTTAAAGGAGGAAGGAAGGTTCTGTGCTGCAGATCTGCAGCAAATTAAGGCAAGCGGCCTGACTTATGCAAAATTAATTTTAATTCGAATCCATTCATTTGGAACCCTATTTTAATTACTTCACAAAATCAGTAATTCTGCTTATGCATGTAATAAACAAACATGCAAACAGCACAGCGACTATTTCAAATTCTTAGAGCAATGAAGAAAGAAGGGAATCGAAGTCATCGAAGCACAAAAGAAATACCTATACAGCATATGACTAACTGTGAGCGTGCACATGTGCACAAGTGCAGATCTGTCACTCATGGTTAGACCACTTCCCATGCACCAATCGAGACATATGAGGTGTCATTCGACACGTCTCGATCTTCTAATCGGGAAACTGACACACTGTTTTCAGATCCAGCCATAAAAAAGCCAAAGAAATTCCAAAAAATGTGTTTTTTCATGTTTTGGCACTGCTTTCGACAGTATGATGGGAATAAAACCAATACCACATAAATAGATCTATGTAGGACGCATTGATTAAACCCCAATACCACGTGGTTATTTTCACTCCACGACACCATAATTTTCTTCCATGAGGATGGCAACACTGAGCTTTGACAAACAGGCAAAGTTAAATAAATATCACCCGGAAGAATTCATACGTGTGAAGTATTTCATGCATATTTTTAACAATAAATTTGCCAATTATCTTGGAACATTAAATTCAAAGAACGTCAAATAAATACGTAGAAAAGAACTGTAAGTAATACTAGAGAAAACATTTCTTAAGCATGCAAATATCCATTTTCAATTTAACATGACTTACAATTTATTCACCTTATGTTTCTGTAAATAAGTAATAAGTCACATTAAACTGAAAATCGATCTTGTATATTTGCCTTAGGAACACAACTGAGAATGATCTTAAATTAGTATTAGAGAATAAATCAGGAGAACAGTTCACAGGTGGTAATTTATGTTCATACAAGAAAATAAAAACTAAAAAAAATAGCTATAGTAAATTCTAACTTTTCGCATCATTCATATAGTGTAATTTATTTACAGGTGCCTCTGACAGGTCATCAGTTGTTACGGTGTCATCCAATCAGGAGTTTACACACCACTAGTGACATCACAGTGGTGACATTCAACTTTCAACTGGATGACACTGCAACAGCTGATTTACGTCAGAGGCAGCTCTAAATAAATCCAAGTACAATTGAATCTGCTAATTCGAATCTGTAAATACGAAATTTCAGATAATCTGAACAAAATTCAGGATGGAGGAAAAATACACAAAATGAACAAAATGCTTATTTGTAAAGAAAGAATTTTATAATTACTGTAGAACTGAACAACTAATTATTGAAACAAGTTGTAGAGGTGAAACGTTTATTGCATTGGTAACTATGGTATATACCACATGTAGTTTATGTAGCAGTAATTTTCACTTAAAGAAAGTTGGAAAATCAGTAATCTTCTTTTGCCATAAGGAACTGGATCTGCTCAATGATATCACTATGCTATGTTGCCATTTTCTCACATCGCACACTACGTTGCACTGTTTGGTAATCATATACAAGATGTAAAGTATTGATATATGTACAGTACATTTTTTTGGATAATCCAAATATTTCCGAATCCAAATAGACCACACCTCCAATTAGTTCGGAATACCAGGGTTATTCTGCAAGTATTTTTTACGATGTTTATAATTTTGAAATTGCAATATTACCGGTTCATATCCCGTATGGAGACAACATTCAAGGACATTGGGTGTTGAGAACTTTTGAATGGGAGTATAACATTATCAGCTACAATTCATGGGAAGTCCAATGCTGTATTTGAACAACGCTAGGCATGAAAGATATTTTCAACACATGAAAATAGTTTTAAAACAGTTTACAACATGGCGACACCACAATCAACTAGTTGTTAATAAAAGATAGATGAAAATATATAAATATAATTTATTTAACATTTAGGCAATAACTTAATATTCAGATTTACACAAGAATTTCTATAAAATTACCCACACATACAATCACCCACAAAAAAATTGATATCTCTGACAAACACAAAGAAATCTCTCCAGGTAATATGATTTTTATCAGAAATACTGCCTGGGTTTTCATTACACATTATTATTCTAAATATTAAACAAGAAAATAATTTAGTAGGATATACTATTCACATTAAAACCAGTAGGTGTAAAAACAGCTTGCACTGGCACAGGCTGAAGTCCAAAGGGATTAGTACCACCAGTAGCAGGTTGTGAAAGGGCTGTAGCAGGGACTGGCACCGTAGACACAGGCAACTGGATGTGCACAGGCATTGTAGTGGCTGGGCCAGTGTGAGTGTTGTGTGTTGAATCAGCACTTCCATTTGTCCCTGCAGTTGCTGCAGTCAATTGCAAATACTGTGCAGGGACAGTTCCCAGATTCAAATTCAAGTCGTCCACTACAGGGGTCAATTGCAAGGCATCAGCAACTGTTAAGATGGTGCTTGGTTGAAGTAGAGTAGCCTGGCCACTGGCTGCTGCCACTTGTCCTCCATCTAACTGTACCAAGATGCGTGATGATGGGTCATTGTTCTGAAACACATACAAAGATATCATTAACAACTCTGCAATTAAAAACAAAAATCTTAACCCTGGGATCTGATCATTGTAAATATGAATTATTGAATAAATTACCAAATTCCAATAATTAAAATGTGACCTAAGAATTCAAAAATTTATGTAGCTCAATATATAAGAACTATAATATAGAAGTTTCTTTTAACATGTCAAAGAAGACGTACCATATACCCGAATATAATACAAGTTTTTTTTCTTCAATATCTCATTTCAAAAATTTGGGATCATCTAAATATTCACAGATTAGGCCTAGTCAGAAGCTTGTACCTTGACTTTCCTTGTCAAGGATCTCCCAAGTAATAATTCGTTGTAAAGGCAATAAAAACCACGCATTTCTAAACACCCAATATTTGTGGATGTATTTATCCCAGTACATTTAACACTTTCCGACAGGTAATGACACATCTTGATATCATGTTCATAACCTTTGTGACAGCAGAACCTTATTGCCTCTAAGACTCAGTGTGAGTCATAGGAGTGACAACAATGAATCCTGGCTGTGAGGAAGTAAACAAATCCTCGCAAGTTGAGTGCTTCTGAGCAGGACATAAGACATACCACAGCAGGTGGTGAGAGAACTGTCAGAGTCACTTATATGCTGCAGTTACTGTAGCAACAGATTTTTTTGTTGGGCATCCAAAGCATCTACAGGATAAACTTCAGTGTTTTATAATATGCGGTTGTGGATTACATACAATAACACTACTGGGCCAAAGAAACTGATATAAAATAGTATTGAGATCTGCACAGTCATTCAACACAGCAAATAAATGTTTGTCCAAAGCGCCAGTGTCCAAGGTGACACTGATAGTAGCATACACTCTAAGGGTTACCAGATCCTGTTATTGGCTGGAATATATACAAATCATCAAGATTCAAAGCAACACAGTTCCTTCAAAACGGTTAGAAAATGAACGGAGTAAGCATAATTCAGCTCAGCTGAAGCAAGCAAGGTTAACATATAATTGCAGATAAAATTGGAAAGAATATAAAGATAATCCAATTCCACTAGTCCAATTTCATGGATGGTATGCCAAGCAGCATAACATGCAACAATATATAATTTCATTATTTATTTTAAAACCTTACAGCAGTGGCACAAATTGCAAGTTTCAAAAAAAAATTTTATATTGAAACGAAGACCCACAATAAGGCAATAAAACAATAATAAATTACACAGCTATTGCATCAGACAAGCATTTCCTAAATTTTTAGCTCCACAATCCCAAAAATGTTAAAAATAGATATAATGAATACATGATGCACACTTCTATGCAACAGAAAAAGAATCTATGAATAACAGACAACTGAAAGTACACCTCACATCAAATCAGTACTGTACTCCTAAACACATTTTGGGAAGCTAGACAGAGATCTGTGAATACATTGTTGTTAAATCTTTGCAGGACTCCCTATCACCATCAACCAACGGTGTGTTAAGCGATTGCAAAACATCAATTACGTTTCAAACAAGCAGCATGTGTTTGGTGCTTCTATTTTGGTGCAGTCAAATTGTGTAAATGAATTTTTTCCTATACTTTTTTATGAAAAAATGGATAAATTTGTCAGAAACAAATGGAGTTATCTGCATCCAGAGAATCAGTTGTTAAAAAGACAAGATTGCACAAAAATAATTATTTATATTACAAGTTTATCTCTATGGATGGAAAGCCACATTACTTGCTTTCAAGTCCTCTCCTATAAAAATATGAAGGCATTAAAATTTGTCATTTGGAAACTAAACACCTCATAAAAACAAGCTCTGGGATTTTTCAGACGAAAATTACATACATACCTTGAGAAGTCAACAAATTTCTGTTTGTAATACAGCCTTACTGATAAAAATTTAGGAAGCATCTTAGCCTGTAGCATTACGAGTAGTAAATAACCCCTAAAAACCTCATACAATCTACTACAATTGTTATGGTAAGCCTATTAATAGGCATTAAATGAGCAAAAAAATTCAGCTTTCTTATGTTTCGTGAGATATGAATGCACCCTAAAGAAAATATTTTACTTTGCAAAACAATACCAGATCATGCAACAGGACAATATCTTTTTGATGTTTTTATGAAGCTAACCCTACCAGAAAATATAACAGAGATTGTTAAAAAAGGATTGCAGATGGTGGAAGGTGTTCGGAAAGTCAGCAAGTCAGTTTTTCATCTTCAATTGAACAAAAAACTAAACTAAAGAATACTCTTATCTCTTGAAAACAATTTGTTTTAGTTTGTTTCTATCATAGATCCACTTATGAAGAAACTTTTAAATGAACAAATAAATCCATCTCATTAATTTCTTCTCTTTGTATGTGTTCTCAAATATCAGTAAGATGTTAAATATTATTTTAAATAATAATTTCAAACATTTTTGTCATAAAATAATTTCATTATTATTTATGTGTAAAGCTGTAGAATAATATGACAACATCTCATTCATATCATGCAACTCCCAGGAAATATTGCAATAGACAATGCTTTACACAACATTAGAAAGAAAAACGCTATAACACATTAGGAAAAAACGAAAAAGAAAGAAAACAACGACAAAATTGAAAAGGAACTACAAAATTAAAATCTAACAAAACCATTTATCAAAATAAACAATTACCTGACCCAACTGCAGAAGAAGTCGTGTGCCAACAGCATCACCTGTAGCCTGCATTAATGTGGCTGGAACCTGTGATGGTTCCAATTGCATTACCAGTTTACCTTCTGTTGGCGCCAATGCTTCAACAACAGAAGGTTCTGTTGCAGTCAAGGGTAATTCTGCAAGTTGGGCTAATGCTGCATCCTCTGGCAGATCAGGAAATTGTGTACACTCTGGCTTCAGAGTCTGAAGAAAATGTGAACAAAAAAATCTAATTCAGTAATATTATTAATTTGCAATTAACCTCTATATCAAACTTTAAAAAACATATTATACTTTGGAAAAATTAATGAATACATTCTTTCAAAACAGGGCAGAAAATTCTTAAGGACAGAAAATTGAATGATATTTGCCGAAGGTGAAATTTAATAAAAAGCAAATTCCAGGGGGGGGGGGGGATTCATGCTCATTTGCATTATAAAAATCAAGCAATTTTCAAAACCTGGAAAAATACCAGCGTACCTCTGCTGTCTCTCCTCCTGCAATGAGATTCACTGTTGTTGCTACAGCAGTGGTCCCCTCTGCAGGTTCATCAACGTCAACTTCAGAAGCAATTGGTTCCATCATTTCAGATGATGTTGCTGAATGACTGTTTGTTGGGACAGAATAGTCAGGATGCTGTTTTCTGAATTAGAGATGAAGACATTATTGTGCAAACAGCATTGAAATACAAATTGCAGTAAGACTATGAAAACATTAAACTTTTATAGATTACAGAGCTATTGATGATAGTTTTAAATATTCTTAAGGTAAATATAAAATGATTTTGTTGATCTTGAATCTTGTTACTGCTGTTGCTGCTTGCAAAGATAAATTAAATACAAAACTAATATCTAATTATATTTATAATTGGGTTTTGCTCTGAAAATGATTTACTGAAATTATTCTATTTGATTGAACACTCCTGGATCAGTGACAAAAACTGACATTACATCCATAATTCACATACAAATTAGGGGGTGAGGAATTGTTGAAACAAATTGTGAAAAACTGAAATGCATTTTTCTCTTATATTTGCCAGTAAAGATCAGTGGAAAGTACACAACCCACATAACTAACATGTTGAATTATATTATGCTCATTCCTCTGATTGATCTAAAAACATATTACATTGAAGGCAAAATCATCAACAAAAAAATGCACACTAATTACACAGCAAAGATCAATACTTTTACCTGATGTGTAATTTAAGATCCCAGCTACTTGCATAAGATTTGCTACAAGTGGAGCAATGATACTGTTTCTCCCCCCGATGTCTCCTCATGTGATCATCCAACTTAGATTTACGAATGAAGCCCTTACCACATGTCGGACACAGATGTGGTCGTTCACCTAAAAAAAGGTAAAAATGTTATAATATAACTACTCCTCAAATAAATATTCACAAAAAATTTATATCATAAAAATGTAAAATAAAGATCTTAGAACAAGATGAATGAAGGTGTACAATCAAGTGCATCCCTGAATGGATTTGTACAATCAAGTTGTCTTTTCAAAGCTGAAAATAAACTGTTTCCATCATTTTAATTGGTTTTATCATTTTATCATAGGTACTAGTGCTTTGGAAATTGTCGATAAATTCCTGACTCAAAGCAAGGAGGGGATTTATCTGAGAATTTCCAAAGCATGAATGGTATTCAATAGGACAATCCTGCAAGTGAAATTAAGACCAACAGAATTCCAAAATGCGCCAAATATTGAAAATAATTGAAAGGGTACATTACAATCAGAAGTTATGTTGTAGTACATACACTGTTTATTGGATATCGACATAGCAATCGATATATAAGTTTATGATTGGCCAGTATGTAGAAGCAGTAAGGAAAATCAGATAGAAAATGCAATTAACTTTTTGAGATACACTGCCCTGATTGGAGTTTTTTGTACGTATAGATAAATACTATTGGTTTTAATTTCACGAGTGGAATAGTCATTCTAAAAACTTTTTTACAAATAAAGATGTTTAACATATGTTGCTCAAGAAATGAGTCGTCAAATCAGTTGCAACAACAACCTGAGAAGGCGGCGCAAAGACTAGTGGAGCCAGCAAAACTCTATTTGCTCATTCCTTTCCCATTCTTGAAGAGAATAAGAAAATTTATGAGTAAGTGTACATGGAGATTGAAATTATCTTGAACTCCATGTAAATTAGTCACATGGGAACTACTGATATAATATAGATAAAACAAAATTAGTTACAAACAAGGCAAAGCTAATGAATGTTTATCACAAGCACAAGTAAATAATGTTATTTACGGTATATAATACTGACATAACCCTACCTGTATGAATTCTGATATGAAATTTAAGCTTCTCCTTCTGACGGAATTTTTTATTGCAATATGAACATGAAAATTTGAATGGCTCTGAATGACTGGTTAAATGAGCCATTAGGCTACCATGCGTTGAGAATTTCTTCCCACAGACCTGTCAAAAGTAAATATCCTTAAGAGAATTTCTTGTGAACTTCATTTAACTACTTTGCAAAAATAGTTTCAGCAATAATGCATCTTTCATGATTGCAGTTTCATTCTTATTCACAACACAGTCAAAAATTTTCAATATATTTTCTACATGTTTATATTTATATAATTATACATATTTATTTTATCATTATTTGCAAATATTAATATTTATTTCTCATTCATTAACTTTATTTGGAGACTTTACATGAAAGACACATTAATTTATCAATCTTACTATGTAATATGCGTAATGTCATTGTTTATAAAAAGAAAGATACCCGAAGGCAGACTCTATCTATAATAAAGAAAATTTCATGAAGTTCCAATTTCCAATTAATAAGTTTTGGATCACATATACCTGACAAAGAAATTTTCTTTCTGCCTGATGTTCTCGAATCATGTGGTTTGTAAGTTGAATTCGTTTAGAGAATGTTAAATTGCATTGTTCACAAGTTGTATCTGCTCTACGCTCATGGCGATTCACTTTATGTTTCTGCAGTGAAGTTCTCAGTTTGAAGGCCAATCCACATTCATCACAGAAGAAACTATTTACATCTCTATATGACAGTATTTACATTAGTAAGTTGATAATCAGTACATCCATATACACACATATTACTAATAAAAAATCTTTCACTTACCTGTGCGCTTTTCTTTTATGACCATTGAGTTCACGTTTCGATGCACACTCAAGGCCACAAAGCTCACAGGGGTAGGGTCCTTGTGTGCAGCGTAAAAGGTGGTACAACATTCGACTAAGACTCCGGTACTCTTCACAACATGTTCCACATCTAAATTTGCGCATACGTGCCAAGAGATCAGGATTGCTCACCAAATATTTTCCTAACAAGTGGAAATAATCACCCTGAAACAATGTTTGTTGACTTTAACAACACCATATCTATTAGTTTCCCCTCCTCCTAAAAAATACAAACAATAAATAACTTACCACATAACCTTCACTTTCAGTATTATCAGACACTTCCTTACATGAATGTGCCTCAAAATCAACTGGAGTTTTGTACACAAAGAGGCAAGTTTTGCAACAGTAGAAAGGAAGGTTCTCAGGTAAAGATTGCACCTCCACCACACTGTACAACATTGAGTCATCTGCTGGCTGCTGGTCTGTCTCATTTCCATGACTCTGAAACAAACAAGAAATCTGTCAAAAACAAACTAGTGCTGTTATAACTGAATATATTTTCTCATATTATTTGTAATGGTAAAGTAATATTACATAACTAGTTGAAAAAGAATTTCCATCACACAACTAGTGGTGCTAAACAGGACGTAATTTATCCCTCGTATTTCCACGCAAAATTACGTGACATGTACTTAAATTTTCAAAAAATTGTACTTGACATTATTTCAAAATCTATCTTTAAGAAACAGATTTCATTAAGGGAAAAAAATCTAGCTTTTAATATTTTAGTTGTAGGAAGACTCCGAAAAAGTTTTGAACTTTTGCAATATTCGAAAAATAAGGGTTTTTAATGAACTTGAGACCTGCACCATTCTCTTTAACATCTTCACACTATCCAACAACAAAATTTAATAAAAAACGATGGAGCCATTTTTTTTTTAATTTGGAAAATGTCCCAGGGGCTCCATGTAAAGTACCCCTCAGCAATAAAATATCAGTTTCAAATTCAAGACGGACAGATAGACGTTTAACTGTCATTCGATTTTTTGGTATCAAGGACCCACGGAACATGGAAACATGGACATGATTTTATGATGATGATAGATGATTTTTCCCCTCTAAATTTAGCAACTGGATTAATCCACTTTTTCGCTCCAAGGGTCCTGTTTTTCTAACGAAAATTCGCAGTCTTTTTTCGCGCAGCATTACATAACTTTCTCTCTACTCCATAGGGGGAAGGGTAAAAATTATTTGCTCAGGTGGAGATTCGATGATATTGAAGAGTTTAATGTTAGAGTTGATTTTAAAGAAGACGGCAACAAGCTGAATAAACTGCAGAAAAGAACTTTGATAATAAATGAATTATATCAGTACATGATAATTTAAAAACCAAAAAAAAATTATTTTTTTTTGACAATTATGTTTAAAGAATAATAGTGATTTCATTTGTAGTTATATTTCATTTCAATATTTTCATTAGCAAATATAATTATAATGAAAATCGATGTCTTTCTTACAACCTGATTGTCCTATATATAATGGTATGGTTGCGTAGGCTTCCGCGGCCGGAGTTTGTGTTGTTTAGGCTATCCGGGGCGAGCCACGATACTGACATGGTGGCTAACGTATTGTGGCCTCCTTCAGAGCGTACTGCTGAACCCAGCAGTACGCTCTGAAGAAGGCCACAATACGCTGGCCAAAACGTTAGCCACCATGTCAGTGACGCGGCTCACCCCGCGCAGCCTAAACAACTATATATAATGGGACCATATATTAAGATGTATTGAAATAATAAAATGACAATGAAAATAACCTGAAACAAAGTGAACTGTACACCTCTCTCTCTCTCTAAATTATATTTGAGATATAAAACAAATACTATCACTAATTATCACTAAATGTTCCATCAGTCTTGAAAAAGATCGCTATTTCTCAGACTTAACAATGAAGAGATTTACTTACTGATCAATGTCTCTGATTGAAGTTTTAGAGCTTAGAGCACTATTGCTGGAGAGAGGAGAGGAGAGGAGAGAGGGGTGAAAGGGGAGACAGTAGTGAGATGAGGGGAGAGATAAAGATGAGCGAGCGAGCGAGAGAGAGAGAGAGAGAGAGAGAGAGAGAGAGAGAGAGAGAGAGAGAGATGAGCGAGCGAGCGAGAGAGAGAGAGAGAGATGAGCGAGCGAGAGAGAGAGATATGAGGAGCGAGCGAGCGAGAGAGAGAGAGAGATATGAGGAGCGAGCGAGAGAGAGAGAGAGAGAGATATGAGGAGCGAGCGAGAGAGAGAGAGAGATGAGGAGCGAGCGAGAGAGAGAGAGATGAGGAGCGAGCGAGAGAGATGAGGAGCGAGCGAGAGAGAGAGAGATGAGGAGCGAGCGAGAGAGAGAGAGATGAGGAGCGAGCGAGAGAGAGAGATGAGGAGCGAGCGAGCGAGAGAGATGAGGAGCGAGCGAGCGAGAGATGAGGAGCGAGAGAGAGAGAGATGAGCGAGCGAGAGAGAGAGAGATGAGCGAGCGAGCGAGAGAGAGATGAGCGAGCGAGCGAGAGAGAGAGATGAGCGAGCGAGCGAGCGAGCGAGAGAGAGAGAGATGAGCGAGCGAGCGAGAGAGAGAGAGAGAGATGAGGAGCGAGCGAGCGAGAGAGATGAGGAGCGAGCGAGCGAGAGAGATGAGCGAGCGAGATGAGAGAGAGATGAGGGGAGAGATGAGCGAGCGAGATGAGAGAGAGAAGAGGGGAGAGATGAGAAGCGAGCGAGAGAGAGAGAGAGAGAGATGAGGAGCAAGTGAGATGAGAGAGAGAGAGATGAGGAGCGAGCGAGATGAGAGAGAGAGATGAGGAGCGAGCGAGATGAGAGAGCGAGATGAGAGAGCGAGCGAGATGAGAGAGCGAGCGAGATGAGAGAGCGAGCGATATGAGAGAGATGAGGAGCGAGCGAGAGAGAGATGATGAGGGAGAGATGTGGAGCGAGCGAGAGAGAGATGATGAGGGAGAGATGGGGGGAGAAATGAGGGGAGAAATGAGGAGCGAGCGAGATAGAGAGAGAGAGAGATGAGGGGAGAGATGAGAAGCGAGCGAGATGAGAGAGAGATGAGGGGAGAGATAGACAGAGATGAGGGGAGAGAGAGATAGACAGAGAGAGAGTGAGAGAGAGAGAAGACATGAAAACTCTTCCTAAAATTTCTCATCCCTAGCCTCTCCACAGAACAAAGAAGAAACATTCAAAACTAATCATCAGAGGGTTATCATCCAATACCTCACCCAATGATATCAATGAAACAACTGATTACCATGTGCTATGCAGTAAAAAGTTAAAGTAAACATACGTGACAAAGATGAAGTTTACCAATGTCTCATGAGACTACTTTACCCTGTACTAAAAATATAAGACTACATCCTCCAGACCGCATTCCTTAACGTACCAATGGCCAGCAATAATGACATAATTGAAAAGTTGGTGAGAGAAGCAAAAAAAATGTGTGATGCAATTTTTTTCCAAATGAAAGAAAGATTTAGTTTCACTTGTGACAACATTTGACGGTTTCTTCGTTGTCCATGTCGTAAAAATGTCCAGTTTACGATTCTAAATTTCCAGAAGAAACATTAAAATTGTTTGTGATCCTTACAAGTTTTTGAGCTTTAAAAAAATTTGCTTGGAGCTTGAAGCAAGCTGCAGTGCTGAGGAATTCAGGAGATTATCAGGCACTCATAGTTTGTAACAGTGCCTCAAAGAGTACATGTTAGAAGAAACATTCAATGAAGTAATCACATTATTACAAATCCTAATTCTAATGACTACTTCTGAAGCTGAGAGATGTTTTTAGCCCCTCAAACACGTAAAGAAATTTCTAAGAAAAAGCATATTACAACACAGGTGTTTGCATTGGCCATGCTATCAACAGAGAGGAATCTAATAGTAGAAGTTGATTTTAATCAGAGTGTGATTGAAATATGCAAACACCATAAAGAAAAACAGTGTTTGCATTGGCCATGCTATCAATAGTGAGGAATCTCATAGTAGATGTTGATTTTAATCAGAGTGTGATTGAAAAAATGCATACATCAAGAAGAGCAACATGCAATTTCCTCTTCAAATATAAAATGACATATTAGCTTTAATAAACATGGTGTATTAATGTCTAAATTAAAATAAAAATGTACTTCACATTTTGAAATATTAATTATTGCATATCATGTGAATTTTTGAATAAGCTAAGATGAATTTTTAGCAGAGAACACATTCCTGAAAAATTGCAGATCTATTATTGCAATATATAACACAGATTGAAATTTAAAAAAAAAAAAAAAATAATTTTTTGTTATCATCACCACTAATAGTAGAAATAACCCCAATTAAAATCATGAAATTAACCAATGTAAAATTAGTCCACACAACAGTGCTTGTGGCAAAGTGCAGGACTGCAATCCCTCTATTTTCAAAAACATGTTTGTTTTTGTATTGAATGAATTCTATTTCTGGCAATTGTCTCAATGCAGTACTAATATAAAGGGTTGTGTGCCCACTGGAAATAAAAACAAAAACAATGTGCAAGGGAAGAGAAAATACCTGCCACGGGCATTATGCATAAGATTATGTAAGTAATGATTGAATACAGACTTATTAAACTTACTTGCAATTCATTTGCATGAATTGCTTACTTCTTATTACGGTATACATTAGTTTACATGGAATTTATATTCCCATCATTCCATGCAGCTGCAACCCCCATTTTGTTGACGCACCAGCCTACACTGCCTACCATGGCCTCTCATGGCACCCATCGCTCTCCTAGGGACATTTCTCAGGGAAGAGGCCCCACAAGCTCCCAAAACATCAGCCCTTAAACCCATCTCCACTTAGAGCCGTTACACAAATGCACAATGCTGATGGTAGTCCAGTGCCCTATCACGGTGCTTGTACCATTGTTCTGGTTGTTGGAATCCAGTTCCTCAATTACATGGGCAGTTTGCGCACAAATCTGACATACAGTCACCTATCAGGCAAATAGGTGACCCTTTCATTGAAATTTGGACCATTTAAAGTTTAAAAAGATCATTATAACTGAGAGTGGAAACAAGTAATTTTAATTTACTTGTTGTTTAGTCTCTTTTTTTTACCATTATGAACAACCATAATGAAAAGTGCCAAAATTTTTTTCACATAATAATTTTATTAATTTGTGTTATGATGTTTTGGGAGACTTCTGTCTGCCTCATCAGGCACAACTGAAAACCAAAATGGTTTTCACAAAAAAATGTATAATTAAATTTTCAGTTGTATCTTCTGAGGGAGACAAAACAGTCTTGAAAACGTCATAACACAAGTGAATAAAATTATTATGTGAAAAAATTGTTGGTACTTTTCATTGTGGTTGTCCAAAATTTAAAATAAGGAACTAAACAACAAGTAAATAGAAATATATTGTGACAACCAACTTAAAAATTTAATCTTAATAAGTAATTTTAATGTAACAGTCCTGCATATAAGCAATGAAATGGAATGCCCTTTCTTACCTGTTGCCTATGACTATTGAGTAGCCTCTGAGAGGAGAAGGTGACTTCACACACGTTGCACTTGTATTCTTCTCCATCACTTCTAACTTTATTTTTTATTTTGAGACACTTGGCCAAATGAACTTGCAGTTTTGAGGAGCTAGGAAACTTTCTGAAAGATTCAACTTGTGATATAAAAATATTTCCAAATATACATGCTGCATTTAAAATAATTAATCTACTGATTATGAATCTTATGTAGCCATTCCATATGACATCAACTGAATTTGGATAAAAATGAAGCTGAATTAATCATCTTATCAAGCCATTATACATTATATCTGACTACAACAATTAAAGCGTTTCTCTTCAAAAAATTAATCCTTTTGCCTGGCCAATACGCAGAGTAGCTAAATGACTTAAGTTATAAATAATAAAGGTTTCTTAACAGGGGAAAAAAAAGTTCTCAAATACTTTTTTGGAGTAAATTGCACTGGAGATTATGCACTGGGCAGATTCTGGGTTGTTTTGCAAATTAAAGCCTGTAGCCTTGACAACAACTTCGACATGAATCTTCAATTTGCACACAAGATGTAGCAGATTACATAAAATACCATGGAAGCCAATAACTAACTTAGTGTTTGCAGGCATGGCTTACCCTACCTTTCCAACCCTCAAAAAAGGGAATTTGACCAAGTCTATTAGCTATTATGCAAAATGGCTGCACAAAAAGATAAATTTTTAAAGAGAAATATACAGCCAAATTGCATTAGTTATTATTACTAAGAATTGGACCAGTGATTTATTAAGAACTAAAAACTTTTAGGTAATATGATATCTAATTACACATAATATCTATCCATTATATGTGATCTCTGATTAATTAGCATTACCAATTGCAGTGAATTTATCTAATATGGAAAAAGAAAAAATTCTTAATTCATTCAAAAATCTTAAAATTAAATCACACCATACCAACAAAAAAAATTATTTGACAACACAAAATGTTCATAATATGATGCAGACCTCATCTAGAATACTTAGTAAGTAATTTGAAGTTCATTACAAGACCACTTAATAAGAGTGCAACACATTTTGCAATAATTAATTTTGCAGAAATATGTTTGTGAAAGGAAAAATATTTTCCAATACTTTCATTTCAAAATGCATTGAAAATATTGATGCTAAACTAAAATAAAATTGGGCCGGACTTTTACTTCTGCATTTCCACTCCATTTGCATGAAGTGTTACACTGCAGGAAGAGTGGAGAAAGCGGCAATTCTGCAAGATCTTCAGCATGGAAATGCATTTGTAATCTTGTACTGATCAGACTCAATATTCCAAGAACCTCATCTTCTAGGAACTGTGCATGTAAAGTGATGCAACTTAGCTGATAGAGTACTTTGCCAAAAACATGATGTGAAATTTTGCAATTTCCGAAACAAATTTCCAATGAAATCTTCACACATAAAAAGAAACACACTTTGCCCACAAGAGTAGTTTAACCAGTATAAAGAATGTTCAGAAAAATGTCAACAGTAGATATACGTCTAAAATATGGTTTGAGAAAAATTATAAATAACGAATTGCATTTTGAATATGCCATACCTTAAAATCATGACGAACAATCAATATCAAAATACTTTTCATGCTGCATAATTCACAGTCAAATCTTATTAATGTACCATCACAGATTGCAATAGATCAAAGCAAATTCCTCAGTGTAGCAAAAACTTTAAATTCTTACCGACAACAAGCATCACACACTTTCTTTTCCTGATTCTCATTTGCAGTTGATCTTAAAAAATTGTCTTCATTTATTTGCTTTAAATTAAAGCAGACTTTTTCATCTTCTTCTACTTCCTCTTCTTTTATAGGTTTCGTAGAAGTATTGTATTCAACTGAATCTTCAGATACTTTTATAGAATCAATCCCAGGATTTTCACAAATTAAATCTGCTCTTTCAGTATCACTTACATCACAAGTCACTGGAGGTTCCTGTGTTTCAATATCACTTGTAACAGGAATTTCCACAAGTTCAAGCGGTTTATTCTCAATTTCATGATTACAAAACGAAAACACAAGTGGAATGTCTTGACAGGAACCTTCAGATTTAAGAACACTGTCACTACACTTCAAATTTTCTGAATCCTCTGCTGTACCAGTTTCAGTGCTATTTTGACTGCCATTCTCCTTAAGCAACACCTTAAAAAAACACGTAATTCACGTTACAAGATTTAATTTAAGAGCATTCAATATAATAATAATTATTTTAAAGAACAACGAGAAGGTGCAAACATTAATTTTAAAATTACATGATATGCGTTTCATAGACAACTCACATTCAATTCTTCACTAAACTCTGAAATAACAGTTAAAACTGCGATTGACAAGGAATCCGGTAATCCAATTTTGGTCTTATAATTAAATATTAATGCTTCAAACACGTCCAAAGCTGCAACCTGATTCAAAATTGAAAGTTGAGGTTAGGTAATATTTCAAGACCATAATTATGAAACTATTCCACAAAAAATTATAGAAGAAATTTTAGTGTCCCTGCCTTTTGTAAAAAGTGTTCAAGGTTAACGAAGGCACTTTTAATAACATGATCAGTCACAGTCATCTCCGCTCACATTACGCAAAACAAATGACATCCACTTTGCACTGCACCTGCACACGAGATGTAAGGTATACCGATGCAGTCGTGATGTAAGGATGCTGACATACTTGCATTATACGGTTCACTGATCCGCACCCGCAGTGATCTTCAGGTGATCTTTTCTCTCATGTATCTGGTCCAGTCCCCTCATAGACAAGGGGGAGCCAAAAATAGATTCGTAAAATACATTTTTTGACGTTTGTATGCTAGCGTGTCGCGAAATATTGATGAATATGCAGAGAACTCCATGCATAGTCCTGAAATGAATTGCTGTATTTTTTAAAAGGCCTTTCGTCCAATTTCATCGACTCGAAACCCGTGCTGACACACCCCTAACATTGATAGCATTTCTACCACCAAATAAATAGAAAAATAAGGTAATTTTTTAAGGTGACCTTGATCGTTATCGTTTTTAAGCAAAGGATTTCACCACCAGAATTGTGATGTCAGCCTGGCAAGGCTTATAACATTGCAATTCATGGGGCTCATACTTCCAGGTGGCAAAATACTCCGTCTTAGGGGTCTCAGACAGTGGTCAAGAATGTCATCTAGCGCATACGTTGACGTTGGAGGTGGGTTGATAGATCCTAAAATATACTATGCGAAAGATTTTGTCCTTATATGTAAGTTTTTTTCAGAAATGAGGAAGAAGTACAAAGACCATTCAGATGCTTTCACAGAAAATGACTTAGAAGCTAAAGAACCAATAGGACAATTTAAATCATGGTTTGACCATGCTTGTAAAAATGCTGGAGAATATGAAGCAAATGCAATGATTTTATCTACTGCATCAAAGTAGGTTTTATGAATGATCAATTAGTCTTTTTCTCCTTGTTTATTAGCATACAGAGAGAACTGCATTATTTTTCTGCAGGGATGGCACACCATCTTGTCGCCCAGTTCTATTGAAAGGATTTGGTCCAGAAGGATTTATGTTCTTTACAAATTATCAAAGCAGGAAAGCACGTGATTTGGTATGAATTAACTTGAATATAATTATTGCACTTGATTACCTTTTTTGTCTGAAATTTTATTGATTTGAATTGTCATGAATTGATCATAGGATGAGAACCCTAAAGCAGCTCTGACATTTTTCTGGAACACACTGCAACGAGTAGTAAGTCTTCAAAAATGAAATAAAATAAAAATAAATAAAAACTGAGTTGTAGGTGAGCAGCACTGGACACTCACTAACTTATTTCATTTGTAGATTAGAGTGGAAGGATCAGTGGAGAAAGTGCCCTCTTCAGTATCAGAAAAATATTTTCATTCTAGACCACGACCGAGTCAAATAGGTGCCTGTGCCAGCAATCAGAGTGAAGTCATTGCTGGGCGTGCTGTACTGATTGGGAAAGCTAATGAACTTAATACCCAATATCCAGAAGGCACAGATATACCATGCCCTCACTTCTGGTGAGAGAAGTTAGGGGTAAAATAAATATTATCTTAAACATAGGATAATAACTTTTTTTTCTTCTCCTTTCTTTCTTTTTACAGGGGAGGTTACCTGGTTGTACCCCATAGTGTTGAGTTCTGGCAGGGTCAGAGTGATCGTCTGCATGATCGAATTAAATTTCGACAAAAAAAACCTGGGGAAGAACCTGATGGTAACATTCTTCATGCAGGAGAAGGCAACTGGGTTTTTGAGAGACTAGCTCCATGAAGTATTGCCTAATGAAGTTATAATTGTTATAATTATACACCAAATATGTAAATAAGGAATGTGAAAAATATAAAAATGGAAATATATTACATGGGAAAAGTAGGACAATAAATTCAGTTCTTGTATCCAATAAAATATATTACATAAATAACACTTTACATTTATATATATAATTTTTCTAACTACATAACTTTTACTCACATTTCCTCACAATTTGTAGAAGTAAATGAAAACAAATTACTTTTTAAAAACACATTATTTATCATTAATACATGGAAAATACTTCATGTACTGAGTGACATTCTGCAGTTTATTATTTATAATTCTTTCAGATTATGATTTTCTTTTTGCCAGTAATTTCTTCAGTACCAACAAACATGTTTGCTTTAGTTATACTTTTTGACAATTAACCTATGTTATCCAACGACTAAGCTATTTGCTAACCAACAAAGATTTTGAACATACTAATACCAATTGAATATCTGAATACAAGATCATTACAATAAAAAACAGCTTCTTCTACATACACAAAATATGGAGAACAATAGCATTCAATATTTTTGTCTGTAAGTACTTATGACATTGGACATTGATAAAAAGAAATTTCAGATTTTTTTTTCTTTCTTTCTTTTTATTAACAAATTGTTAGATTTTGTAAAATATTTCCTATTGTACAACTTTGTAGGCAAATAGTCCAGATGTTTCAAAGTATGAAATAGGCTGTAATGTCTCCAACTTAAAAGACTATTAGCATTGGAGTAAAAAAAAGAATCTAGTTTCTTTTGTGTACAATTTTGTAATACAACAAGTTTAAAAGAATATATTATCCCTTTTTTCATTAACAAACACTTCGACAAATTGTCATAGAAAAGTTTTGAATCTCAATGTGATTTAAAATGTATGAAAATTTCAGAATTTTTTATGTTATTAAATGTCCTCTAATAATTCTGAATAATTGAAATTCAATACAGTTATTCAGGAACGAAGTTTACAGTGCTCACAATTCTTTTAAAGTACATTACATATAAGATATCTCTTTATTCACTTCAGGAGTTTAAACTCACTATGCTCATTCTCCTTAAGCAAAAAGATCCCAAGTGAAAGTTAATCACAAATAAAATGTATTCATCTCTGAAAGCTGTCATCTTTCTTTACGCTTTTCATTGCTGAAAGCACAGATCATTGTAAATTTATTGTTTAAATATAAAGTTTATGTCAGTACGAAAAAGAGAGCTCCTTTTCTATTTGTTTTGCAAACAAAAAAATTATCATTCATTTTTCTTAAAATAATGGCAAATTTTCAATTCTGAATTGAACGATTAATTTCATGATTTATGAAGAACAAACATCTATAGTCAATACAACCAACAACTTACAATGAATTTATACAATTTAGAACACTGAACATATTTCAACACATACCAACAACCTATTCCTATACAACATGTACCAATAACCATAGCGGACTAGCACTCTCTAACAGTCTTTCCCTATAAAAAGTGCTACAATATGGAGGGTTAGGTTATCCCATGACTCCACAGACCCACTTAACTGATTTCACAGCTATATCTAAGATGATTCATTTGGCATGCTAACAAATGTCACTTGTGCTATGATATTCCATTAATAACACAATAACATACATATTTTATGCCCTTACAGCTATATTTTATCAAGTCATATATACAACATTAAATAAATATCAAGTAATGAAAATTCATTTGGCAATCATGTTTGCAAGCAACAACATTTATAAATTTTGTTTTGAAACTAATATATTATTTAATTTTCTCCCAAAAAGTATGTAGCATTCTAACAAGCACCTTAAAACACCAAATATTAAGGTTAGTATCAAAATCAATTCAATTTTGTAAATTTTCTGGGAGAAAAGAAAAATCATTCAAGACTATGCACAAATACTGTAGTTTAGAAATCGGCCCTTTCATTTCTCACAAGAGAGGTCTTTAAATATTTAAGGAGATGACTACTTTAATTATGTTTTCATGATGTTTTTATCATGAAAATTTGAACTGGGATTGAACTGATTCCTAAATAGTTCTACAAAAAATAAAATAAAAAATTAAATCATAATTGCTAAACATTAGGATGGCAATGCAATAAATATTTTTTGAAGTGTTAAAACAGGTAAGTAAAATATGACTTAATATCAACTTGATGCAATAGCTAAAAACGGTTTTGAACAATAGTACAAAGCAAGTTTTAAAATCACAGCAATGTTTTTCGAAATGTCAATGTCATTCTCCTCCCACACAATAAAGCATTTTTATTTGCAACTAATTTTCTATAACTAAATTTCCAAACAAATTTAAGTTTAACTTCAAGTAGTTTTGAATATAAAACTACAATTTTAAAGATTTTAAGGTGTTTGGAATAGTTTTGGTCCAATCAACTTTTATGAATGATGAACACAATTTTAATTCACAAAAATAGCTATTTTAAAATAGTTGAGCTTTGAATTATAGCGACCTTCATTGCGATCATTGTGGGCCCCAAAATAAGATTATATCCTACATTTATCTTACCTCCCTAAAGGTAAGATATGTTTGGTGCACACGTAATTCAGATATAGCACACCACTCTGAGTAAATGATGTTTACTGGCAGATGCACCTTCCTCCAAAAAATTGTGTCTGAAAGTAGGATCAATCACGGAGATTCATCTTGAATTGATGTATGTTTTACTCTGGATTTGTGGTGAACCTCAACTGCACTATTTCTCTTTGAACCCCTGAAATAGCACCAATTGAAATTGGGACAAATCACAAATAAAATCTGTGAAAAAAGAAGTTCTTGATACTATTTACCTTCTTTCGATGACCAGCAATGGGTGCACGTAAAGTATCCTTCCTCAGAAACAAAATTCTCAAACAGTCGCAAACTTCCCCCTACTCCAAAATAACAAGTTTTAGCTGCTAAATATCTTACACTCAATTAAGGAATATACGAGAATACTGAACACAGTAGTGAGTGAATGAAAAAAAAAAGAACTTATTTCTCAAATATAAAATTTTTTGCAGCAATTATTCCACTCAACAAAATCAACAAATATGTCACTTATACTCTAATTAACCACCATCATTGCAACAAATCCCCATGTCTTGAATCTTAGATTACTATCATCATTGGAACTTTATGAAACACATTTTGTGTTTTATCACTTCTAGAAGATTATGTTGTTGTTTTTTCTTTATTTTTCTTTTCATCTAAAAACCATAAATTTCTTTAACAAGATACTAAAGCTTGTTTGTTCTTCTATAATAAATGAATATGCACAAAAGAAACAAACAAGATTAAGTGACAGTTATATGCAAGAGAAAGCTCTGATAATAAAATGTAACAAATGTCTTTTAAGAAAGACAATTAATCTTTTAAGAAAATAATGCTCTTTAAACAATAGTTTTCATGAAATTTATGTTTGCCTAAAAGTAAGGTTTTTGACAGCAAAAAAGGATACACAGCACCAGTCTTCTTCAGCTTTTGTTTTAAAACAAAATGTAATTTGCAATAGTTCTCTGGATTATATATTGTTTCAGAGGTCAAAATTATATCATATAAAATGTTCTGCCGATGAGTCAATTCCAAGAATGATAACCAGTCACCAGCAAAAAAACGACATCTAGCAATTTTATCATCATTTTCATCTTTGCTCAAATTTAGCAAAACATTGGGTATAGTCAACGAGTTCAATACTGATTCATTCTGTTGAAAGCATTTCAATACATTTTTATTACATATTAATGAGATAATAACAAAATATTCTTATTATATAATGACCAAATATTTTAGGTTCAAATTTAGGATTCATTATCAACATAAAAAAATCTGGATTAATAAAACAAATACATAAAAGAAAAATATATAAAATTAGGAGAAATTAATTTTTATTGAAAATACCTAGATCCATAGATCATTAAATATTATCAAAATTCTTACTACTACTTCTACTACTTTTTACTACTAAAATTGCTCTTCAGAAATAATGATCTGACAAATTAAGTATACAGTGACTCACATAATCTTGGAAATGCACAGTACATCCATGGACAAGAGCCAATACACCCAAAATTCCAGCACCACATCCCAGATCAAGAACACGAACTCCAGGATGAAACACATGAGAAAGTTCCTTGATCATGAAGTTAGCAAGGTCTTGAGTACATTCCCAAATTTTAAAACCACCTACAATAAGGAGAGCAGATCCTGCTAAGCATATTCAAAGTAAATTCTCATTAGAGAACATTCTAAAACTCAAACCTTCATATTTTCCTGGGATCAAGTCGGAATGTCGCAATTCTGCCTCCAATACATCACTATCTTGGACATTCTTAATATTGGGTTGGATATGATGAATTCTGATAATACCACATGAAAACGTATTAACATTGATACTTCCATTTATTGTATTGAAATGTTCCTTGTCCACATGAACCTCCAATGCTTCAGCCCATTTAAACTTTGTTTTCTCTTGACCTCCATCTATGTCTGCTAGAATGAACACAAAGTGAGTTCTCCCGTGAACTACGCAATGATGAAAACAATTAACTAAATTAATTTAATGCACTGGTTGGCTTTTTAAACTAATTCTAAAATCTGTCATAACCTAAATTGATGAACACATTTAAATACTGTACCTGCACTGTCATCTGAATCTCCTGCACCCTCGTCCTCAAAATCAAATCTAAACATTTTGCTGTAACAAACAGTGTGTTCTAGTATTCAGTAGCAGCTGAAAATTCTCCCGATTACACCATATCACCAGCCATTCACTCTTGAGAATCCATGCTTCCCGCCACTATAAACACCAATGATAACCACTGAATTAGCGCACGTTGCATGGTGGACACAGTTCGTTCAAAAGAATTACAATTATATTCACTACTTAAAAACAGGGTTGATGTCTTCTTATATTTCTCATGTACCGTATGTGTTGTCTTTTGACCAATAAAATACAGTATTATGGAAGGCGTACGCAACACATTAGCAATACGTCTGATTAAGGAAAAGGTGTAATGAGATCGGGCATCAAATACCTCAGGATTACAGCACACCCACACCCCCAAGTTTCTTATTCAATAGTTAGTCGCGACTCGCAAGGACGGCACGGAACTATGGGCCAACCAGAGAGTATGGGGTCAACTTCTACTTAGATGGGGGAGCAGGCATGTATCACGGGTAGGAGGGAAGGTTTCGAGCGAATTGAAAGCGCAATTGTTGATGGGCAATGCTTTATAAGAAAGTCCACGAGAAGATAGGCGATAAAGGCGATAATTTTTGAAGACAGGTGTAACCTTAATGTTTCCATTTAGATACTCTGACCCAATTTCGTGAATGGAGATCCCCAATCTGAGACCAAATTCTTATGATAGGTAATGTTTTATAATTGTAACAAATCAGGTTTCCAATAAATAATATTAATAATAATAAATATGAAAAACAAACCCTATAAAGAAAATATATATGTAATGAAAATTTCTGGAAAATATTCGACGGGATATTGCTATCCTATTCCCATTAACTACAGATGCTAAACAGCACATACTTTCTCGCAATATTATATCGTGATGTAATTAGTATTATGTCATTATTTCTGCCTTTCTTACACTTCAAATATCGCTTAATCTCGTAAATAAACGAAACGCGAATATATA